CCAGCAAGGCACCACTAAGGTACCCTGAGCAAGGTATTGCCCCTGGATGTTGGATTATCTGCCCCCTGCTATGTTGTGAAAGTCACATATGGGTTAAATGCAGAGGACACATTTAGTTGTTGTGCTGTGGTGTGTTAACACTGACCACCTAATTCTAGTCTTGCTTATTTCTGTTTCCCTGGTTCTGTTAGTTTAGTTTCCTATTTAGTTCTATAGTTTTTCCCTGTTTGTTTTGACCCCTTGTAGTCCTATTTTCATTGTTTACCCCAGTATGTTCTATTTCTTTAATAAACCCCTTGTCTCACAAAGTGGATCATTGCCTTTTCCCAGCGGCACCATGCCTCTAGTCCATAACAGGTTTCTGCACACTGCAGTGTCTATAGTTTACAGGGAACGATGTATGAAACATCGGTCAATGACATTTCTCTGGACAAAAATACCTTGTTAAGGGGTGAGACGAATATCCAGACTCTCTGAAGTAAACAGGAAGGCCACATGTGCAAAAAATAACAGCTCGATACAACTGTGGTGTGCAGTAAAGCATCTCCTAAGGAACAACTTGTCAGCCATTGATTTAGACCTAAATGAAGTCAATGAGTGTATATTTGTCGTCTTCCCCATTATTATCATTATGGATGTTGTTGTTGATAAACATAGCTAATAACATCATCACCTATGTATTTCAAAACATCGCCTAAAAACTAATCCTTAAATGATTTCAATAACAGAGTAACAATGTGATAGGCGGGTTGCCCGTGACGTGCAGAGAATGCAAACAATCAAGGCATGGGCTGGCGGGATCATACTGCGTCAGTGAACTGCGGCCATTTAAATAGCAGGATGGCAAACATAAGCCTACAGTATGGTGACATTGGGCAGAATGACAGTTTGTCTGCAAGAATGGATGAGGGGGCCTTAAATACTCTGTGACCCTGCAAATTGCTGAGACTCTGCAGACTTTGAAAGGCAGATCAATGACAAAATGCAGATACAGTATGTGCTTTGCCAATGGGTTATGAAAATGACAATACTTAAATATTAAACCATATGTATATTTTTTCTTAGAGATACTGACCCATAAATACACATTGACGTGTAATAGAAAATATTTTATTTAAAAAGTGATAAGGGCTTTATGTAATACCACAGAAAGTATGCATGAGACAAAACAGTGAATGACTTTTTATTGTTTTTGCTTAGATTTTGTAATTATTCTATTCAAATAGAATCTTGCCCCTCAGCCACAATGCTGCTTGTCTGCATGAGTGTGATACTTTGTAGTTTCAGGTAACAGCCTGTGACTGAATACTATGCACACTATGTATAGTATAGGGATGCAATCCACCCTAAAAGTGCCTCTGTTGTCTCGCAGGAAGAGGTTCAGAATAATGAAACTTGTATCCTCAAGTCATCAGATAATTTAGTACTTCTAATCAGGGGCGTAGTTAGAGACTTTACTAGGAGGAACCGATGGCATGCTATTCATGACTTAGGCCAAGAAATGCACATTTATTGGGGGGGGGGGGTGTAAAAAACATTTTATGGGTTAAAGCCCCCCAAAATCATGCACCGTGCACTTTACTGAAAATATGTTGCATGTCTTTTTTTTCTTTTTCGTTCTTTTCAGTATGACTTTACTTTTCCTTATTTGGTTTAGTCTATATTTTATCGCTTATGTCTTATTGCTTTCACTGTTTTTATAATGGCGGAGAGGATCACCTTGCATTTCACTGCAGGTTATAGTCATACTGTATGCCTGGCATGTGACAGAACCGTTGAATCTGCAAAGTAAAAAGCCACAGGAGGTTTGGGCATGTAAGACAAAAGTGCTCTCTAATGAAAACCATCAGTTCCTTAAAATGAACATTTACAGGCAGCTTATTTTTAAATACTGCGAAACTAGTTCTTTCTATGCGCCCAAACCGCAAGGACTGACAGCGGAGATCTCCAGTGTCACCAATTTTGGTCAACTGGCTGGCGTGAGACATTCAGCCTGAGACAAATCTGCACATACATGCACCCACATTTACGTGTAACAGTTTTGTTAACTTGTAAATAGTCTGTATGGTTTGCAAATTACCCCAACGTTTATGATGCGGCTAATTTTAGTTTTATAAAGGAATAATATAAATTTGCTGTAAGAGTTCTTGCGTGAGCATGAGAGCTGGCAACCTTGGATTTCATCATCGACCGTAGTGCTGCTCCGGTCAAGCGCTACAAAATCACCATGTACGTGTGATGGTTTCAGTTTTCTGTACTTCGATCCTAGGCCGCCGCCTATGTTGTCTGACCCAGCTCCAGATGAGGTCAATCTTGGGTGGCAAACACTCGCATATACGTCAGCAAATTATGACTATGTGCAAAGGTGCAGGTTTGCTTTCAGCGTTGGTAGGGACCAAATCAGCCCCGAACCTCCTGCTCCCTTAAACAGACACGGTTCTCCCACCATATTGGTAAGGAAATGCCCCTACCGTCCATACCCCGATCTACATTCTTGCTTATGCATAGAATATGTTGCGCAGTCGGTAACAGATGACTTCGCAATCCCGATGCACGCGCACGGAAGGAAACAACGTAGGCCTGTGTCCAACTGACACATGCAGGTTCAGTGAAATGCACAATGCAGGCTCAGTAAAGCAGGTTACGACAAATGTTCCGTGATTACAATTGTAAACCAGGCAAGATTACGCTTAGTTCACGATGCATTTATGCGACAAACTATTTAAGATTTGCAATAATGTTCAAGTTTCTCTTCAATTCGCCCCCTGTCAGAATCGTATCAACGCAATCGAATAATCAACAAGGCAAACGAACGTCGAATAATATTTTTTCTATTTCCGTAGTCAAACGCAGCAATCAGGCGTGGTCTTTGGGAATTTTGTTTTCTTTACATGTCAGCATGTCCGACATTTGTAATATTTTTCAGTAGTCTGTATTATTTTTATAGCTTGGCTTCCTCGATTTTAGCCAATGAAGGAATAAACAGAAAGCATTTTTTTCCCAGTGCTTACGGCCTATACATGCACAAAACATTAGATACGTCCTTTCAAGTGAGGGAAATCCTGAACTGGCAAAAAGTAGCGGTAGTAACCTCCAGAAAAAAAATGTGGGCAGGGCAGGGGTATGTGACGTCACGCTTCAGACTTCGCTGCGTGGCGGCGGCGGAGCGCGACGGTTGCAGCGGGTCACATCTGGTAAAGCAAAATGATCTGATTTTGCAGAAGGTGCCATCACTTTGTATAGAAGGAGCCTGTTCGCTTGTCTTTTTATCTCGTAAAGTCTTAATGCTGGAGCTCATCAACGGCATTTACTGACGGTAGTATTTTGGGGAGTGAGAAGTAGTGGCGAAACCCTCTCTCACGCATGGATCAGTCTGTAGCGATTCAGGAGACTTTGTCCGAAGACGAAAATTGTATCATAGTATCCTCTTTTATTTGGCAAACGTTGCCGCTAATACGACTCGGTGGGAGCGGTTCCAGGATAATCTAGAAGTCGACATTGTTTTAAATGAAGGATTGTTCGTGCGTAAGTTCAAGGCAGCTGAGCTTGCAGCTGCAATTGTATTTATGGAAAGTTAACGGTATTCTGGGAAGGAAGTTTCATGTCACTGTGCCTGTAGGAGAGGCCTTCGCGTTTTCGTGCCATGTAATATGGATCTGTTTTTCTTTCAACGAAAATCTTTTTAGTTTCGAGTTATAAACAGTTTTAAAATATGAAATGTTGGTTATATGTTAATGATTCATGTTTGTATTGTCAAATGAACTGAACGTATAAATAAAACCACTGTCGAGAGGCTGCACTGGCGCGTGCGCAGTGCGCTCATGCCTAAGCGCGTAGCGCAGCAAGAACCGCTATGTGTGTCCATAAGGGGTCACTAATACTGTACTCTGTGTAATATGCTCAAAGTAGATGTAGTGTTTAGTGGCAAGTATTGGTAACAAAACTACTTTATAATACCGACAGACAATTTGCAAACATGTATTTTATTAAGTGTTTAACTTAGAATGTCATGGCATTAATAAACGTCACGATTCCATGTATCATTTTCCATTTGCATAACTCTACACATGTAATTTGGATATTTGTCTTAACTGAAGTGTTTTAAACATGCCGCCCAATGTCTTCTCGTCGTGGACGATGCCACCGAAAGCAGGCTGGTGGGCTTGGTGGCACGTTACGAAGCCCACGCGTGAGTTGTCATTTATTTTATTCTTCTGGTCCCGCAGTATCTTCGCGATGACTGCTGTTTTGCGCTTTGTGTATAGGTTAATATATCTCCCGTAGGATGTTTATCTTCACGCATAGACGAATGGCGATAACCGGTGAAGATGTAACGCTGGATGACATAATACCCGTCTCCCACAACTTCGCTATTGTAGAAGGTGAAGGCAGCAAATCGCTCTGCTCATTGCAAGTATTGTTTGTTGTTGGCTCACGAATCCTGAAAATTCATCATTACTATCAGAAACACCGACTTTCTAAATCGTCTAATCTGTAGAAGGAAGCGTGTATCTAACGTTATGCTCTTTTTCCCGATAGTCTCCTCTCCAGATGAACTTGCTATTATCGGTGAGATTCCTTTATTGTATTATCACGTATAGAATATTTCTTTCTCCATGTTACCTGGTAAGGCTGGAATTTATTATTAATGCAGTAATGAATCCAACCAATTTTTTTTATTTTGGCGAAATTCAAATTAAAGGTTAATAATTAAAATCTATACTGTGATGAAGGTAAAATCATTCGCAGTTTGCCTCAGAATATTGTATTATTATAAGTGGAAGGTTTGCGACATGACTGAAACTGAATGGGAGTCCTTTAACTTAAAGTCGGTGCCCACTCCACAGGCGCAGATACCAGGGTGCGGGTGACAGATTCGGATCGGGACCTGGAGTTGAGGCTGCCCTTTGGTTCCCACACGCGGCTATTCCTCAGTGAAGTCAATAGGTCCTGGAGTGGTAAGAGACCCCCTCCCATTGTCAAAGACAGCTCCCTTTTGGCTTTTCCAAACAGCCAGGCCAGGGGATATGGCCCACCACTGACATCTGTTAACACTTTCATGGTTTAATTGGTCTGAATGGCAAATCAGCAGGTACTTGAAGGGAAAATGTTTGCTTAAATTCCAGTGTGATAATTTTATAAAAGACTTACTTTATTCAAGAAATTAGTGTTCAGCTTCCTGCCAAAACTAGCCCAGCACCTGTGCAGTCAGTATGGCGAAGAGCATTTGGCTGAACATTCTGCCTTGTGGTTGAGCACCATGCCATTCGAAACTGAATCAAGCTCTGCTCTCGCCTGCGGAAGTCAAATCCCGGCATGATGGAATCGGACCAGATCCGAGAACCATAATGGTAACATGAACACAACACAGCGGCTGTAGGGGGGTTTAGTGTCACCAACTGGCTTATTGTCGCTGCATCAGGCTTCCATTCTTTATAAGCTGTGGTACTTTTCTGCAGTAGGTGCCTGTTTGTGACCACAGAGAGACTTTGTGGTTTCTTTGGATTTAAGTAGGAACCATTCTGTAGTTTCATGTTGGTAGTTTCACTCTTTTTTTTGAGGGGGGGGGGTACTCATACACAAGAATAAGGAAATTTAGCATCTTACATCATTGTTTATTTAAAGAGATAGACTTTTATTGTTATGTTACAGGGATGAGGAGGGTCAACCTCTGTATCATGTCAAAACAATGAGTGCACTTGCAGCTCACCGGTACCAAGAATCTTGCTGTTTTTCAGTCGTAAAGGCCGCACCTTGGAGGCGTGGCGGGGCGTGGGATTGCAGTGGTCCTGGTTGGGTTGATCGCTCTGCACTGTCATACAGACCAGTGAGAATGAAGGAAGAGCTATAGAGGCGAATCAACATGTTTTGCTGCAAAGTCAGTAAAAGCACAGAAGCATAAATCAACACTCTGAGAGCAGCAAGACACAGAAAATATGATCTGTCTCCTCTCTTCATGACAGTCTGAGGGGTGATGCAAGGTTTCAAGCTTAAGCTGGAAGATAACAGACCACTGTAGAGAGAGAGACACACACACACAGCATGTAGTTCCTTCCAGCTTGTTATGACAGCAGAAGAGGCGAAGAAAAGTAGCAACTGTTTGGTCAGATAAGCAAAGTGGTGAGCTCTGAGTACGGAAGACGAGAGGGGAGAGAGAGTGAGAGTATGAGAACAAGTGAGTGTGACGGAGGTGGGGGCGGAGGTAGGGGTGGAGTATTTAGCCAGGCTTTAGTCGTTTACTTCTTCCGAGTTTCAACAAGGGCCGTCATCCTGGACCTGTCATCTGTGACATTAAGCTCTGGTTTGCAGTTGTTGTGTTTTTCACCCTGGTTGGATTTTAGACTGGAGGTCCTGGGTCAGAATGTACCTTGTTTTTTTTCGTGATGCCTTTCCGTAGCAGCCATTGCAGAGGTATATCCACCCAAAGTTTAGGGGGAAAGTGTCAGTTTCGGCACCTGGGCTCTAGATCACGCGGCCGAGGGCTGTGCCCGGCCTCCCTGCCCCGGCCAGAGGCACCTGCTGCTTTTTTGATAGGCCACATTTGCAGTACAGTCCCGGGGGGGGGGGACGGGGGACATGATGGACATGGTCAACAACCGGAAGAACAAGGGGAACTCTGAAGGTAAGAGGAACTAACCAGGGAGAGACAGAATGAGTGACAGAGTGAGATATTTTTGAAAATGGCAGGACCGTGCTGCTCTTCATGTGGTTATGAGCTTCCTTTCCACAAGTCCACAGCATGCACAGGCCAAATGAAGAAGCGACGCTCTGAAAAGTCTGACTGTTGTAAATAAATAAAAAAAAAAGCTCAGCTAGAAGTGAAATTGGGGGCGGTATCTGACAGGGCATCTCTGCTGCTCTGTTGCCCAATGCGCTCCTTGTGCGATGCGGTGAAGTGCCAAAACTATCGTCTCATCTCCACATTTGCTGAGAGGGTCGCCCTGGGTCCACATCGTTCTCTGCGTCTGACGGTATAGTTTACAACTTCTACCACTTTGAGGGGGTTTCTGGCTGGAAGCTGGAGAGAAATCTCTAGGTGATTTTTTTTATACAAAGCTTAATTAACCGGTTTAAGATGGTAAGAGGGGGGAAAATTAGAAAGATTAACAATCCTGTTTTTTCACTTGTGGGGGTTAGACCAGCTGCAGAATGGCACTGGTATCAAACTGGCAAAGCAGCCAGGCATGTTGGTTTTTTCAGCACCTCGATCACTTAAGTTAGGTGATGGGGGTACAAACTGTCACCTTTTCCTCAGCAAAATTGTAGGGCTGTGCAAGTGGCTGCTTAGTGATGAAATATATATATACAGGCAGTCAGGCCTGTGTGTGTGTGTGTGTGTGTGTGTGTGTGTGGATTATGTTTATATTACATAGTGGGGACCAAAGATCTGTGAATGCAATCAAAAAACTAAAAATTACAAAAGTGTTGTATTTTGTTTGGTTATGTTATAGTATGGGTAGAGGTTATGGTGGGATTAGAGTTTGCTCCATAGAAATGAATGGAGAGTCCCCACAAACATACAATTATGTGTGTGTACATTCCTCACTATGGTGTCTTATCCACAGAGGTATGCAAGAAGTGCCCCACCGAGGTTCCCGCCTCACAATTTGAGTGGCTGACCAAGTACAGAAGGTCCACCAAAGGGACCAGCACAGATTCGCTGTCTGCCGTGCTACTGCAAACACCGTCAAGCAGGAAACAATCTGGTGAGGAACCTTATCGCCGTGCCTGTGTCTGTCGCCGTGTCCATCACTGCTTCCGAACACCGTGCCTGTAAACAGGTTCAGCCAGAGACCTTCTAAATATCTCCCATCTTAGATCAAGCCCTGTTCTTGGATACCTGCTTACTGCGTTTGCAACATCCTCGGCAAAGTTTTCCGCGTCTGAGAGTCAAACCATTGACTATAGTTGAGTCTTTACTGAAAGTGAAACCAGAATCTCCTTTAAGCTCCTTAGGTGCATCTAGAGCAGCTATCGTGCAACAGTTTCCTGCAAAATGTGATGCATGATAGCTGACCACCCTAATACCATGCACACAATGCAGCATGAGTGATAAGTATAATTGTGCCCCCCCCCCCCCCCAACCAAATCTAACCATCTGCTATTTGCATCCCAAGTTACAGATACGGCTCAGTGAGCCAAAGGTCGTTGGTTTCAGGACGCACTCTGTTTCACGAAACACCCGAATTGACTTACCCCGGAAACATTTCTGTCCGCAGTGACAGAAGTCACAATTTGCTGCTGATTAAACTTTCAGCGAAGTCCATCTGTCCATCTTCTGTAACCGCTTGTCCTACTCTGGGTCGTGCAGGGTCTGGAGCCTACTTTCAAGTACCAATAGTAATAAGCAAAAACGTAAATCTTTTTTTTTTAACAGATCAATATAACAGTTTAATAAGGCCTTAAATATAATAACTCATCAATTAAATCACTAATTGTTGGATAGTGTATGTCCTGTCCACCATCAAAATAATATTCTGTTCATCAAGTGATCGAAAGTGAAGCTCTGTTTGTAGATGGGGCTGCAGGCAGCTTTTATAGTGTTAGAGACATTCAGCTGTCACCAAAATTATTGCATCATTATGCTCTCCATTCAAATCAACCCTCACTTCCTTGTTACTGTCCGGACTGGGAAAGATGTGGGAAACATTGCTCAGTAATGCTATACCTGTACTGAAATTACCTTTTTCAATTAATATATAGATGAGAAGAAAAAATATAGCCTCATAAACAACCGACTGAAAGGCACACAATTGACTGTCAGATTTGTCATGGGGGTGTGGTGTGTGGTATTCACTGTTCACAAAGCAGTTTCAGTTCGCTCGTCTCTGGCGTGGAGGATCTTGGATTTTTTCCACCACGTAAAGTCTTCAGACCTGTATGTCAGCATAGCACCTCGTTGCTTTGAACCATTCCTTCTTATGTCGCTCTGCCGCTTCTCCGACTCACCGCCATGCCATTCGGGTGACCCGTACCTACCCTCATTTATATCGATCTGTATAGAAAGCTCCGCTTAATGACTCCTGGTAGTTTTCGTATGGCTACCATCCATCTGACTACATGCAAGCGAAACTAAAAGCCGAGGCGCAGCTAACTTTGCTCGAGGTGTCGGAAGCCGACCTCCTGCTGGAGCCCACGGCTGTTTGAGGGCGCCGCGGTCGGGCCAGATCCGATCCGCTGCGACGCCGCACCCGTACAGTAGGTACAGTATCGCTCTGGGCTGGCAGCCTTCATTGTACTGGAAATGCGGCGGCGCGCCCTTTTCTGGTTACATTTTAACCCCGTGGCTTGGTGTACAGGGTTCATCCGTGTCCCGGCGTTTGATTGCTCGGGCCTGGGTGCGCCGGACCGGCACAGTTCGGCTTGCCGAGGCGATGCCACAGTGAATGCGGCTGAATAGAAGGAGACATGCCTGATGTGCTCCAGGAATCCGGTAACGAGTCGGGCTGAATCTGTTCTAAATGTGCCCCCTTTTAAAAAAATATTGACGTATTTCATGTTTGTTTGTTTGAACACGTGAGAATTTGGAGAAGACGTGGAGCGCTGAAAGCCTTTTGCGAGTCGCCAGATCCACCGACGTTACAGTCAGCTGGTTAAATTACGTATTTACACTGATAACTTGGGTGATGGGAAATCAGTGTAGGCAGGGTTGATTAGCCAGATTTCCTTTAATTTCCTGAAATATAGCGAATCCCGCGTTCAGTGAAACTTGTTCATGGTCTTATAAGACGACTGTCTGCGGCTGATTAAGATCTGGCGAAAGGACGAGGGTTGAATCTAATACGCAAAGGCTCTGTTATATCAGTATACCTCGCAAGTTAAAAGTTAACCTAGTGGTGTAATAAATATGATGATGTGGTGAGGATCAATCAGCCGTTGTTATGGGGGCTCATAAATAAGTGATGCATTGTTTTCTGTTAGCGGCACATTTGTATTCCGGTGGTTCATTGGCTTTTTTCTTTCTTTCTTTTTTTAACACTTTTGTGTTTGGAGTGCATGCCACGCAGCCTGCTGGTTATTCATGGCTTACGCGAAGAGCTGAGCTATAGTGTGTAAAGTTTTCAGAATGTCGATTTAAAAAGGGCGTTTCCGTGCATGAGTCGAAAACTTAATAGTGTAGCAGCACTTAAGTTGGATAACCTACTGAAAATTGTATGCCACCGCCCTACACACGAATATTTAGTGCCAGACAATATCCACCAACCTGGCTGTATAGCAATACAATTTTTCTCTTCTATACCTTATATAATATATGTAATATTTTAAAATTCATCGCTATTTAGGCTTATATTTTATAAAGACACACAGCTGTGATTGAAGTGTTTTGAGGCAGTAAACATGAATAATGAGTGCAGATGATTCTGGACGGATGTGGCTTTAAGCACGTGTATGGACAACTGTGCATGTGCATGAAAAAAATAATGCCAGTATTTCTGTACTGTGTCTTTAAATGTACATAAGCCTTCAGATTATTTGAAAATTGAGCCAAAGCTGTACATGGCTGAGTAAAGATTTTTCAAAGTTGCATTCAGCTGTTTTTGGGCGCATGACTGATTTCTGGGCACAGTTCTACGGCTCGTTTGTTGAAGCACTAGAAATGGTAGTCTTGCTAGTGTTTGAGAGACCAGTATTACCAGCAGCATCTCAAACTCTGTCCTTTTGGGTGTAACAAAGCGTCCTCATGTTCAGGGAGTTCAGGACTTTGAGAGATGCATTATGGGAACCCCGGCTGAGCAGGCACAAACCGTGACCTTTATCGTGTGGGTCCCCAAAGGATGCTCGTGTCGACACTGCAGCAGTGAGGAAAGCCCCCTCAGAGTGAGGGGGCTGCCTTGTGCCTTTGGAGGTCTGTGGGGGGGGGCTTCCTGTTCTCCTCCCAGTCCCGTGGGTAGCCTGCCAGCCTCAGCATGGGCTGCACTTTTGTGGAGGCTGCCTTTGTTTCTGCAGTGTGGCCTGGTTATGCAGCTGGGTTCTGTTGTTACTAATTATATCTCCCCCCTTTCCATTTTTATACAACCTGTTTAGAATCATCATCGTTCCCTTTTCTGTTTTGGACCAAAACAAGAACTGCTATTTTTTGTGCGTGTGTGTGTTTCGCCCTAGTCCCTTCACCGGTGGGCTGGGCACCTGGTCTTGCTAAGAAGGTATTTATTTTATATTTACTAATTTATGTGACACTTTTATCCAGAGTGATTTATCCAAAGATCACAATTTATTCATGCTCCTTGGGATTCAAACCCACAACCTCTGTGTTGTCAGCATGGTGTTGTAGTTGTTGAGCATTGCAGTGTTAAGGTGGTTATTTAAGCTGCGTTTACTCAGACCTTTTAAATAGGCTTCTGGAGACAAATGGAATTGGAGAATAATTATTGATAAAAAAAAAATTGTCAGTCTATTCATCCATCCATCCATCCTTTCGGAATATAAGATCCGTTATTGATCTCTGAAATTGTTTGTATACCTCCCTCAACTTGCTCTTTTTCGTAGAGTAAACTGTCCGTGAAGGGCAGCCACCCGTAGCGGCACCCAGGGAGCTGGGGGTTAAGGGCCTTGCTCAAGGACCCGCAGACGTGCTAAGGCTGGGTTTGAACTGGTGACCTTCTGATTTCAGGCACACAGGCTTAGCCCACTGAACCACACACTACCCCAATATATCCAGTATAGAGTTGCAAGGGCCTGGTGCCTCTCTCAGGGAGCACTGGACGCAAAGCAGGGGACACCCTAGATAGAATGGCGATCCACTGTAGGTTGCACACTATGGACAATTTCGAGATGCTAGGTCACCTGACCACATCATTTTAGACTGCAGGGGGAAATCAATAACATGTAGTAGAACTCATACACTGTGAGAGTGCTTTTTTTAACCCCCAACCCTGAGTGTGTGAGGCTTAAAGCCAATATTAACATCTCAGTGTTAATATTTACCCAAAAATACCAGGTTTCATAGTTAGAAAAACTTTTTTCAAAAACTTTTTTGAAAGGATCACAATTCACCCTAATTTGCACGGAAGTGTTCAGGTGTTACTTGAAGTTTGTTGGGGTGTGCTGTGCATTTTTCTTCTTAAACTTGACATCCAGTAAGAGATCCGCCTCGATCTGATATCAGCCCATTGTCCTTCGCCGGCCGATGGGCGGAGATGATGCCACTTTCTTGAGTGACTTGCAGTTCAGTGGTAAACGTTCCTGACAGCAATTCATTATTATCGTGTTTTGCGTCTGCAGCAAAACTGTAACATCAGCCTAGCATAAAACAGTCGTTAAGCCTTTTTTTTAATTGATGAGCTCTGTTTTCTTCACCAGTGTTTTGGAGGGTATTTTTAAAGGTACGTCAGCGCTTACCTTGAAAAGCGATCACACCGTTGTCTACAGCCTCTGGGTGACGATAAATGTCTGTTCCTGTTTGCAAAGAATGCAAGTCATTTGTTGTTCATTGTCTGTTCAAGATCATTTTCACTGCCATCATGTTCGAGGGATTGTCCTGTAAACTTTCCCTGGTTTAGCCGTATGACACAGTGAGCGTGCTTGTTAACGGGGATGGAATGGTGGTGCGACAGAGATGCCGTGCCGGGCTTTGGGAACGGCGTCGTGTCCTGGGGTCTCTGGCACTGATCCTCATGGAATTTTTTAGCGCAAGCTAAAGCTGGTTTTGAAAGAGTCTGCCTGCGTTTACTGAGCTCTCTGCTCATGTTGGTATCATCGACCGTGAGCTGCTGACTGCGGGGGCTGCCTCCTGTGCTGATCGAAGAAGGCTTCACACATTCAAGTCAGCGATTTTCACCATGCGGTCTCTGCCGTCTGCTTTTTCATTGTCTGTGGGTTTTTCTTTTTGCTTTTCTCCTGCTGTGTGACATTGATTAACAGCCTAAATCTTGAGGCTAGAAAGTAGAGGAGTCAGATCAGGTCGTGTTTAAGGGGCTCAGTGGATGAACAAATTAATGGAAGGTGGAGTCTTTTCTGTTTTTTTTTTTTTTTTGTTTTGTTTTTTTTTTTCCCCCTCCCTTATCTCCCTCCCTCAGATGGTCTGTGGCTTCGCTGACTCATCAGTGAGGTGCTGTTACTGTCTGACTCTGCAGTATAAAGTGCTTGGGGCACACGGACATATTTCTCCCGGGCTGTGCTGCCAGGCAGGGACTGGACAGGGGGGGAGCAGTCGCTCTTGTGGTTGTGTTTAATTGTTACGCAGCTGTAATAGGAGGCCCCTCCCATTTCCTTACATGGCTGAGGTTTCTGTTCCCACTCCACACAGGAAAATTGTCACTGGCAGACAGAAAGGGACACCCAGCCAGCGTGGAGAACAACGTGGATAGGTGAGGTTTGCCCTCGAGTCGCTGTAATCATTCTCTTAATTCCGCCCCCCATTCCCCAAGGCGCACATTATTTCACCAAACTGAGCCAAACAGTGTAACTGAGACTCAGGCACTAACAAAAAGATTCAGGTTACCTTTATATAAAGTTCTCCTTTCTGAATGTTGCCACACCGTTCAATTTTAGCCGCAATGGTGTTGCCGGGATAGCTGAGAGAAAGTTCCAGAACCTGACCGTTTCGGGGGGGATTTTCCTGTCTTTATGCAGTGCTGAGCAGGGAAGAGCTATGTTGCTTCTGAAGGCACAAGGCTAAACGCTGCTCCTCCCCAGTCCAGAATGTAAACAGCTGCATAAAGCCAGCTATCTTGGAGGCTGTGGTGGAGATCTCTGTCTATGCTGAAGCAGTGTGTCCTTCTCGGTCGGTCGAGGGCAGGTTCAGGGTGATGACACTATCCATGTGAGCAGGGTTGGGGTTGGGATGTTGGCTCTAACCCTTATGTGCCACAGGAGAGGGAGGGGCGAGGAGAACAGGGATGACCTGGTTCGCTCCTCCAGCTACATGGTGTCCAACAAGGCGCAGATGCTGGCCATGCCACAGTTCGGCTTGCGGGACAACCTCATCCGCTCCGAGCTGCTGAAGAAGGAGGAGCAGTACATCTACATCAAGAACTTCAGGTGGGCTCCACCAACCCCTGTCCCCACATCCCTGCCCCTGCAGAAACCCCCCAGGCTTAACATTCATGCCCTGTGACGGTGTCCCTCGTGTCCCTCGTTTCCCTCGTGTCCCTCGTGTTCTCGCATCTTTCTTTGCCGGAGACACACCTTCAGCACCTCCTATGTTGGGGAACTCCACCTGTGTAAATCACCGCTGCGATATGCAGGGATGAAGTCGGTTTTTAAAAGCGAGCAGAGTCTGGGGCTTAGAGAGAGCTGCTCTTTGAGGGGCATCTCACTCTCACTAGCCGTAACCAGCAGCTCCTGATGCCACGTTTCCACAGCATGACGTTCAAGCACCTGTTTACATACTCGGCCTTGCTTTGCGCTTCTGCCAAGGCCTCTCAGCCTGCTGTGCCCATGGGTACCGTGTTGTCACTGTGGTCCCAGTAGTGCAGAATTCATTTAGAACCGATGGCATGTTTTCTCCTCGATGGGATCAAAGGTTTGCCCACAGTAGTGGGTTAATGGGGGGTAATGCTGACCTCTGCTGGTCAAAAAGGGCAGTGCACAATGCGGCTTGAAGCTTCACTTTTCCCCGTGCCCTTGCCGTCTGCTCACGGTTCTGTGCACAGACTCTTGTTTATGTACTACATTTGACTGTGGATGCAGATGGTTGCGGGCGATATATGCGTACAGTGGCGATATTCCACCGGACCAGCAGAGGGCAGATGTATTGTAACAAACACAAATACAAGCAGGGTAGCAACTATTCTTCTGCATTATCTTTGTACGCTGTGAAAATGCTGCCACCTACTGGAAATACCTGCACATGCGCCGTCGACTCGTACCAATGCACATGATGTCCTCAGAAGGAAAGAATCTAGGCTACATGTGCAGTGTCCAGCACAAACCCCTGATGATGAGATTTACACCTTGTCCACGGACCACCTTAACCAGGGTAGAAAGTATATCTGTTCCATTTCAGGCACAATATCGCAGTTCTTTCGTTTCTTAAAGACTATCGTGAGACGTTGCCTGCATTAATGTGGCTTGATAACTAATAGCTCTGCTCTCTGGCCTGAGCTGTTTTCAACCGGCGTCATGTGACGCAGCTAGATTTGCTGGCCCAGCTTGCTGTTGCCATGACACCCAGAGGTCACTGCGATCCCGTTGAGCCACTGCTGCCCCTTATTAAAGTGCAGGGTGGCAGTGTGAATGTGTGCTCGACTGAGAATGCCAGTCTTCTAGTTACCCATTGATTCCCATAACGTGCCAGGATGGGAGACTATATGTGTGCATGTGGATGGAGAGTCTGGCACAACACAGCATGCGGAGATCCGGGGCAAAGAGATACAAACATACTGGGGGTCTCCAGATGCTGAACCTTCATGCCCTTAGTAGATGCTCTTCCCCGGCTGTGTCTGCCCTGAATGTGCTGCCGGTGATGACGACACAGGATTTGTCTGTGTTAATTCCTCCCCCCAACCCTGCCCCTCCCCCAGGTTTTTTCTAGGTACCTACAATGTGAATGGACAGCCCCCCAAGGAAAGCCTCCAGCCCTGGTTGGGTTTTCCCTCCGATCCCCCGGACATCTACTGTGTGGGGTAAGCTGCCTGCACCTGCCCCATTGGGATGGGGGGGGGCTTTCTAGGGCAAGAACGATGGCAGATGCTTTTGGATTGCAGGTTCCAAGAGCTGGACCTCAGCAAGGAAGCCTTCTTCTTCAGCGACACGCCCAAGGAGCAAGAGTGGATGAAGGCCGTTTTGGAGGGCCTGCACCAAGACGCCAAGTATGCCTTTGTAAGGACACCCCCCTCTGAACACCCTCCCACCCCACGGTCGCTCAACAGCAGCCTCTTTTTCAGACACTTTATTCTGACGCACATTTTTGGTCCCCTGTCAGTCAGGTTTAAGCCAATTAAATCCAATAAAGTAACTCATAGCAGGTAGGTTGATTCAGGGCACTGTAAGCCCTTTCACTCTTCCATCCGTTCCTGATCCCCCTGTATCACTTCGTGCTGGTAAGGATGGGGGGGCCTGTGACTGACTGAGCCTCTGCTTCCGCCACCCCCATTTCAGGTGAAGCTGATTCGCCTGGTCGGCATCATGCTACTGTTCTACGTGAAGAACGAGCACGCTGAGCACATCAGCGAGGTGGAGGCTGAGAGCGTGGGCACCGGGATCATGGGAAGGATGGTGAGCGGCCGCCCGACACACCTGACCCCCCTGCCGAGGGCCTGGGCTGCAGGAGCTCCGGGGAATAGGTGATATAGTGACCGAGGTGTTTATTGTTGCTATTAATCCTGTGGCTACTGTAGTTCAGCAAGTAGAGCAAAAGGCATGGGCTCAGATCCCAGGGATAAAAGCATCAGATAAATGAGAAAAATCTAATCCCTCCCTCTTGAAGCCGATTGAGGGGGTCTGGAGCCGATCCCAGGCAGCGCTGTGCACTAGGCAGAGGACACCTTACATAATAACACATGCGGGCAATTTAGAGACAATTTTCGGCTGTGGAAACTCACACAAGATAAAGCAGGGGCGGGATTTGACCCCATAACCATGACAGCATATAGGCCTAATTTGCTCCATGAGGGAGTGTTTAATGTCCCTCTGAAACTCCCGTGAGGTCAAATCCCAGACCCTGGAGATGCAAGGTGAAAGTGACGTTAATAGGAGCTGCCTGTGGGTGATATTAGTGAGACTGTGCCTTTGAAAAGGAAAGCTGGCTTTTCCTTTTGTAACAAGTTAGCGAGTACCTGTGGGACTGGCTGAGGTTTGAGGCACGAAATGATGGATGAGGCTCCTCTTCCTTTGTTTCCAGGGCAACAAAGGCGCGGTGGCCATTCGCTTCCGATTCCACAACTCGGACATTTGCGTGGTGAACTCACACCTGGCCGCCCACGTGGAGGAGTTCGAGCGCCGCAACCAGGACTTCAGGGACATCTGCAGCCGCATCATGTTCCGACAGAAAGACCCCGGCCTGTCCCCGCTCACCATCCTAAAGCATGAGTGCGTTGAGTCGTTTCCCATAATGCTGTGCAAAAAAGTGCCTCATTGTGATGTGTTGTAATTTGTCTGTTAATAACTATGTTTGTTAGCTCCTGTTCAAAATGTGCATATAGTTAACTAGCTGCTTTAAGTTGTTTAGCATTTTTGCTTTTGTTACTGCTGCTGTGCTGCTTGCGTTGTTGGTGGTGTGTTTTTTTCTTTACATAACTGTTTTGTGTGTCTTTAGTGTCATCCTTTGGCTTGGGGATCTGAACTACAGGATATGTGAACTTGAGGTGGATGAAGTGAAAAACCTTATTGCCAAAAAAGATTTTGAAACCCTGCAAAAATTCGACCAGGTATGGGCCTCACATCAGCGCACCGAAGACACGCATTCATTACCTCATTACTGCATTTCAGCAGTTACTCCAGGTCAGATGACACTTCAGAACACGCAGCGGTTGGGATTACTGTGTGTCAGTCACAGACTGCTTTGATTTCATTGGGTCTGCCGTTGTCTTAAACCTGTCTGTGAGTGGCAGTGTACAGTAGTCCCACCCACTTCCAAAGCATCATTTTCGTTTGTGATTGTCAGTTTTTTGTGATATGGACATGCTGAAATGTTGTTTTATTACTGTGCCTGATGTAACATGATCATGTCTCTGCTCATTCATGTGTTAATCACTGAGACAAAAGCTTGTTTTGGTGTTACGTTTTAAAGGGGATCATGGGGCATCTGACTTTGTGTGTGTGTGTGTGTGTGTGTGTGTCCCGCAGCTTCGCCGGCAGATCAAGGAAGAAGCTGTGTTCTCAGGCTTTGTGGAAGGGGAGATTATGTTCCAGCCCACATACAAGTACAACACAGGTTCCGACCAGTGGGACAGCAGGTGGGGACCAAGTGACACCAACCTGATCCGATCAGGCATGTCTCTCTGCAGCGGGTGGCAGAGGGACCCTCCATGCAGGACAGCCACAGTGTCTTGGGTTTCCTGAAGGAAAATTCTGGAAAGGCATACTTTCTAGAGCTACCTGCTTAGGTTATGTGGTCGTTCGCATTTCAAAAGGAAGGATGTAAGCAAGCTTTTACTCATATATATTCTGAGAAATACAAGAAAAAAAATATGAAACAGACTGAGTGGGTGGAATGAGGGTTGTAGTATGGTGCACTTATTTTTTTACTGAAAACACGAAACACTTTTCACCAAACACATCCGAGGCTGATTACTACAGATCCCACTGGACTCAAACTGAGAAAAATGTCCCATAATATTTACTGGGAACACTGCTGTTCTGGTGATTGCATGTTCGTTATGGGAGAGTGTGAAGTGGCTCCGGGTTTAGCCAGTAACAGATTGTTAAAATGGCCCAGTTGAAGACGGTCTCTGCTGAAATGGTTCCCTGCAAAGTACAGGGAAAGCAGGGGTTGGGGGTGAACTTTCACGATCCATGCTGGTGAATTTCTTCAGTTGCTGGATCTTCCTCAACGCTGAGTGGTGTGATGAAAATGCCTGGGATTTGTGACGGGGGGGTGTGTAACTGCACACAGCTGATCTTTGGGCCTTTGTTCCATGCCCCCCCCAGTGAGAAGTGTCGAGTGCCCGCCTGGTGTGACCGCATCCTGTGGAAGGGCAAGCAGATCCAGCAGCTGCACTACCAGAGTCACATGACCCTGAAGACCAGTGACCACAAGCCCGTGAGCTCGCTGATGGAGATCGGGGTGAGGGCAGCTCCTTCTGCTGGTGGGGTGGGGGCGGTGGCTCTTCTCCAGGCGCTCTCTGGAGCTCATAGCCCTCTCCCGGCCTGTCCTTAGATTAAGGTGGTGAACGAGGAGAAGTACAAGAAGACTTTCGAAGAGATTGTGCGGAATCTGGACAAGATGGAGAACGAGTGCATCCCGTCCGTGTCTCTCTCCGGGCGAGAGGTGAGTGGCGATGTCGGGGACCACCAGGCTTCTGGGTTGTCTCCATGGATACCTTACAGGCAAACACGTTGCCTTGTTCAGGGGTACTGAGGTTTGGGCCCCCTGTTGGCCAAAAACAGTTATCACACTAAGTATAATAAACATGTTCCTTATTCAGAAGATGTTCTACTAGTCATCTAGTCAGCCACGATCTTTTCACTCTTCTCGTTAGATATTTAGTTTTTGAAATACTAATTTAGCCTTTGCATAAATACTGTACTGTAGCAACATATTCCAGCTGTTTTTTTTTTTTATTAATTTGGCATCTTTTCGGTGCTGGGATGTTTATCTTTGAATAAATTTATGAAATGTCTGAAATTTCCCTTCATGGGATTAATAACGTTCATCTTACCTTAAATCTAAACCAGCAAACATAAATCCTGATATGCTCTTTTCCGATGTGAATCTCCTTTGCTTTTACCTGGAAAGAACCTTCCAGATTCCAGCTAATAAATCCTAGCTCGCTAATTCTAGTTTCATACTAGCCGATCTCGGGTATCTAAATTTGTTTTTGTGCAGTTGATTCCAGTTAACCAGTTTGTCTGCTTTTATATGTAGCTCCGTTTGAATAATTCTGGTTCCATGCTACCGAGTTCCTGCTAGCTAATTCTAGCTTTATACTGCCTTATTCCACTTAGCTAATTGTAGATCTCTGCTAGCTAATTCCAAGACTACCGCTGCCCTTGTCTAACCAGCCTTGTCCTCCATCTGTCCAATGCAGTTCCAGTTTAATGACGTGAAGTTCATGCAGGAACAGACCAAGATACTGACCATCTACAACGATGGACAAGTGCCATGTCAGTTTGAGTTCATCCAGAAGCTGGATGAATCCACCTTCTGCAAACCTTGGTTGATGATCAGCCCACACCAAGGCTTCCTGGCACAGGGTAAGCGATGGATCTTCAGCCTCCTCGAAAGCTGCTCTTGCTAGGTTACCCTCCTGCAGCCAAGTGGCAGATCACACAGCTGTTAATGTTCTGGACTGGTAACCGAAAGTCTGTTGGTTTAAGCGCCAGCAGGGCCTCTAGTCAACTGAACCTTTCAGTTGTACAAAAGGGAAAATCATAAGCTGTGTAAGATAGTAACAGCTGAAGAAAATTGAAGAAATCTGACAATTCATTATAACACAGATTGTTACAATGATTTTCCAGCTGTGTATATGATGACATACATTTGCATATGCATACAACAGTGGCAGAGAGTGTTGTGAAATAGTTGTATACAGCAAAGCTGTAGGGCTCTCCACACATACAAGCTGCCGCTTCTACAGCAAGCAGGCGTATAAACAATGTGATGTGGGGTTACTAGGAAGGGATAATTGTCTCTTAGCAAATGGAAGGTGTGGAGATCCCCTGGGGGGCAAAGCCATAGCGTGGCAAACTCGGGGGCTTTGTCGATGTCCCGGCAACAGTGGCTTTCGGATGTTGATGTTGGTTCAGCTGGGAGAGATGGATCAGCCTCTTCGTCTATGTGGGAGTAATACTTGACGTTATTGAGGAAATTAGCGAGTAGCGCAGCGAGGTTTTTTGCTGGCTAACCGTTAGCCGAGGTGTGTTTCATATTGACGGCCCGACTTACCTTGGCTTGTCTTTAGCGAAACCTCGCATCTCATGATCGCGAAGAGGGAGGCCAAGGACTGCCCTAAGAGTGCTCTCGCACTTGCCCCAGTTGGCTTGTACTCTGCTCGAGCACGACTGTCCCCCCCCTTCCCACACCCCCCTCCCGCTGGTCCGCTCTCACATTGCGATTAACGTCCCGGGACCGAGCACACTTTTGTCATCGCTGTGTGTCGAAGAATACTCACAGCACAATGGAGCTCATGATTAATGTCCTCATTTTGTGGCTTATTTGGTGTCACTTTGGGGGCGATGATGCACGGCCTTCGTAGATTTTATCAAGTATGCAACACAGCGATTTTCATTTAATCCTGCTGCATGCATAAGGAAATAGTCCCGTATTATGCCAAATATCTCGGAGTTTTATGCATTGCATCAGGTTGTTACAAATTTCCATTAAGCTCTGAACCTCTGCCGTGGACCAAAGTGATTTCTTTATGTTTATTAAATGTTTCTTGCTACCCGATGTGTTCGTTTCGGGTCCAGTTGTATAGCGTACATGTGCACAGCATATGCGTGTGGCAGTCGCATCGTTGACGTCTTGTCTGTGTTCCATGCTCAGGCACGTTTACCTTTCACACGAGATGCAGGGTCGTGCAGAGACGTTTAAAGGGGCGGGTGCTCAAAGTTAAAAAAGATAGAACAGGCTGAATAACAACAACTCACATTCATGACAAATCTAATATGGAATTATGTGGATATCCATATTAGATCGTTTTTAGTGAAATAAAAGCCCTCCAGAAAAGAAGGGAAAAGTCCTGTAACTTACTTTAAAACAAAACGTGNAAAGAAGGGAAAAGTCCTGTAACTTACTTTAAAACAAAACGTGTTCCCTAAAATGGTGGACAGAGCTACAGACCCCCTTGTAACACCCTTACCCAGTTAGCTAGCAGTTAATGACCACCACTACTTGTGCAGTTCATAAAAGGACAGGTAATGTTTGTCGCGCTGTTGCACAAACAGCACGCTCATTTGTTTCAACTCATTTCTTGTTATAGACTATAGTGTGCGCTGTACACCCTATTTACTGTTTTGTTGCAGTCTGCACCTTCCAATTAATTTGCCTGCTTCTCCTCCAGCTCCGCACCACCCAGCCTGCAGAAAATGCGCGTGCACTTCGCGAGCTCGTACCCGGCTCGTAACGAGCGCGCTCTGCCCTGAAGGGCGAGCATTGGTTAATGGCAGTCATGTGACTGATGCAAGCCAGATCCTTTTATTTAGCAAAATTGAGATTAATAGTTACATTTTATTGTTGAGGGGCAAAGACAGGGCAAAGACATTAAAAAAAACAACAAAAAAATCAACAACAAAAAAAACCATTACCCCAAACCTATACCTGTGGCTATCAGAACCAGCTGAACATATTTAGACGAGTCCTCTCTCACTGCAGGGGAGAGCGTCGACATCCAGCTAGAGCTGTACGTTAACCGTTCGACGGCCACGGATCTGAACTCGGGCCGGCAGCAGATAGAGGACATCTTGGTGCTGCACCTGGACCGCGGCAAGGATTACTTCATATCCATCACGGGCAACTACCTTCCCAGCTGCTTCGGCACCTCACTGCAGACCCTGTGCCACCTCAGGGAGCCCATCCAGGACATGCCCCTGGAGACCCTGCAGCAGCTGGTGAGCGCCCCCTAGAGTCCACTCCACATTGAGTGGAGACAAAATTGCTGCAGCAAGACCACCCTCTCAGTCAAGAAGACCTTAAGAATGTTCTGGAAATTTAGGTTTATATTTCAAGGGTAACATTTTTCTCCAGTTTTACTAGACTCAATGAGTTAAACTCATTCAGTTTAATTAGATTTCTTCTTTTTTTTTGGCTAGATTTGCATTTGTTGCTGCTGGCGCTCATGTCAAGTGGATATTCCAATTGGGGCATTGCTTGTAATTTTTGTTTTAGCGTGATGCTAAAGGCTTACTGATCATACTTCTTGATACGCTTTGTACTTTAATGCCTGCATCATTTTCACTGATCTGTAAAACGCATTTCTTTAGACCTCCTAAAAAATAGACAAATGAAATAATTCCCTCCCCCAGTTTCATAAACCACACTGCCTGTTGTTGCCTCTCTGATTTCATACAAGATGTTTACTGCAATCTTGCACTGGTGCCAGCCTGATATCTCATTCAGGCCTGGAGCAACATCAAACCGGCTTGCCGAAGGAAAAGGAAGTCAGTGGGGTAGGGGGGGGGGGAATCTACACTCAGGCTGAATGTGCTGCACCCCTGGGTCGGAACGGGCCTCGAAGGAAGGGGGATTCATCTGGGCGCATCCGCCTCCAAAATTAACTCTCTGACGAATTATATTATCATGCTATTCCCCAGGGCACCACAGAGAAGTTCATCTCTAAAACGAAAACAAATAGGAAATCAGCCCCTTGCTTCACTGTAAAATAGACAGTGATATGTCATTGTGTCGGCGTCATTTAATGAGACGTCGAAACCAGGCCGATCCCAGCTGTGGCAGATAAGGTCTTTGACGTTGGGATGCAGATCAGCAGAGAAGCACATCCACCGTGACACCAAGAGTTCTGCCCCAACCTGAGGCTCACGTGCCAAGAGGGCAGTAACGTCACTGTTTGGCTAAACTGGCCCAGCTGTTTTCTGCTAGTTTCCAACTTCAGACAGCATAACATTCAGATTAACTTTATTGATCACAGGGGGGATATTTTGGTTCATACAGCAACACGGATATAGTGCATAGCCGGACGTGTGTATAGCGCAATACAGACAGTGTAAAGACAGTAATCCAGTGCAGGGTCATGTTGGGGAGGAACCTACAGGTCATCCTGGGGAGGCAGGAGGATGGGATCCAAGACTATCGCAGGACACACACACACTCACACACACCTGAGCTCCTGTGTATATACGGTTTAGAGAACAATTATAGGAAGTAGGAATAAGTCGATTCTGTCCGCATCTTGGATTCTTTCAGGTGTTAAATATTCAAGACTCTTTCTGATGTGAGAACAGGGAACTCCTTATGTAGGTTGAGGTGGAATTCAATTATGAAAATAGGAAACCCTGAATGGAGTTTTGAGTCTCGTTGGTGCGGATTCGCCTGTGAGTGACGCCGTCCCCACTCTTCTGTGTGAAAGCTGCTCTATCAGCTAGACTCTCATGATTGATGATGGTGGGCTGCTTGGGTGCTTTTCTCTATCGAGTCGACTCGCAGAACAGTGAAGCACGGTGTACGGGGGGGGGGGATGGGGGCATTAGGAGTGCTGGTTCCCTAGCAGCCCTAGGCAACCGTGGCCGAGGGCCAGGAAGGGAATTATTGTAGAACAACAGCCCCACAAAAAAAGCTGGTCTCCCCCTACTCAACATGCCGCTGTGATCTACTCCCTTTTGTGTCCAGTGTTGTATTCTCCCAAAAAGGGGGGGGGGCATTTGACCTGTGGGTTTAAGTCCTGTCCGCGTGCTAGCGTTTCTGTCAGTAGACTTGGTCCAGGGGCACAGCGTGTGTCCAGATTGTCAGTATTCTCTAACGACGCCCCCACCCCCCCACAATAAGAAGACATCTGAATTTCTGCTAAGTAGTGAAGCTCAGCATGAACTGACTACAGATAGCAAAGTAAGGAGAGTTTGATTCTTCCTTCAGTCTGCTGGGATGAGATGGAGCTGTATCCGGAAGGTCATGGGGTAAAGTCACACAATCGGAATTTCTGTTATACGTGCTAATTTTTGCAAAGTAGTATCAATTAGCATGTGTCCTGTAACCTGTGAATGGTTGTAAGCTGTGTAAGTGAGGAGAGTCAGTGAATGTGACTGTTTCCTCTTTGTGTGGTTTGAAGATACTGATGACAAGTGAAGAGGTCAGCGACCCGATCACGGAGAAGCCCCTAGACATCCCCAAGGAGATCTGGATGATGGTGGACCACCTGTACCGTAACGCTTCCAAGCAGGTCAGTGTTGGCCTTGCAGCTGCACTGCTGTATGGACCTCCCTCCATTCTCAAGGAACTGCTCATCCAGTTGTGGTTATGGTGAAGGGGAGTGTATCCCAGAAATCAGTGGGCAAAGCAGGGTACACACACACACACACACACATAAACAAACAATACTTGCTTTGGACTTCCAGAGTTACCCAGACGGACATGAGGACTGCACACAGAATGGATTGGAACCTACAACCTAAATGGCATAAAGCCGCAATGCCAGGGCATAGACCACACACCGCCTGCTCTTAACCTCCCTCCCCTGGGTTCCTGCTGCCTTTCTGCGGATGCCAGACTCCAGTAGCCAGACAGACACACACACACACACACACACGTATCAGGGCAACAGCAGGAAAAGGGCAGGAATGTTCCCAGGCCTCCTCTGGGCTGGCAGGAGCTGAAACCCACATGCAACGCGATGCCTGTGCTCAGCTCTGTGACACTTCCTTTCTTCATTTGTTTGTTTGAGGTGTGTGACCATCAAGCTTCTTATGGGTTCCACTTTCATTTTCATTGTTTTCACAGTTTGACCTTGCAAACAAAAAAAAAATAATCAAGTATGTGTGAACAAGTGTGAACTGGATAAAACTTATAACAAAATTAAGCAACTAGAAATGTTTCATTTAACTATATTCACTAAGCCAAAATTGCCTGTTTATACTTCATATGTATCTGCAATTTAAAGGGGCTGCAAAAGGAAAAAGATGCATTTAAAGGGGCTTTGGTTCTGTCTGTCCATCTAGGCTGTTCTGCTGGCAGTTGCTTTGCTTTGCGGATACTGGCCACTGAAATGTCAGACTTCTCTCGAATATAATGGGAGTGAATGGCATTCTTTCTGTGGTCATTTAACTGCCAGAAAAATACATTTGAAAAATTCAGCAGCAGTGCCTCTTACCAGAAATCATGACCCGGTTAGTGAAGATAATCCACAGACTTTGTAGTGAGCAGTTTAATGTACAAACTTTTTTTTTTCTTCTACCGAACTTCACACACCAATCATGTCACTGCGCAGAAGATATTGCTGGGGTCCTCATGCTTGTATCTTCTGCGCAGTTATACGATTGAATAACTGGGTCTGATTTCTGCTGATTATTCTTGTTCTATAGCAGGAGAGTTTTGGGTGAACTGCCCCTTTTAAAAAGAGTTTGTCTGATAATTGTGTTTTTAGTTTCTAGTTGTGAGGCTGTACCATGCTGAGAGTTCAAGTTGTGATTTATGACTTGAGGAACTTTTTTTTTTTTTTGTGAAAGCTCTAAACAAGTGTAAAAAAAAAAAAAAGGCTTTGAGGCAGCATGCAGATCTCGCTGATGTGCCCAGATTGAAGCCCATTAATATTCCCAAGCCAAGAGCAGAGGCAAGTTTGATCACTTATAATGAATTCTGTTACGAGATGGGGAGATCCTGTGGAATGAGCACCTCCTTCCCCTACAGCACTGGGGGTTGGGGGGGGGGGTAAAATCAGTACTCCTAGCCTCGGCCTAAGTTCCTGTTAATTCGACTGACAAAATTCAATGGAGCCCTCAGCAAACTCCGACAGCCTGATGTTAACTGTTTCCTGAAACTTGTTCAATCAGCGCCATTTAATCCAGAACCGGCCGTGTAAACTGAGCCTGTCCTCCCGATCGCTGCACCTCACTCCCACAAATCATTACCCTGGGGGTGGCCCCCTTTTAATTTCCAGTATCATTTTCCAGGAGGACCTGTTTCAGCAGCCAGGTCTAAGGAGTGAGGTCGGAAAGATCCGGGATTGCCTAGACACCGGGACGCCGGATTCTCTCCGTATCCTTTGACACGATTCCCAGATAAGCCACTTTTCTGTTCTATTTCAGCATTTAGCTGAAGAACATCCTTAAAGAGCATTAAAGAGAGACACGGAATCTCTCTCAGCGGTTGAGCGGAGGGACTCGTATCTCCCTGTTTTCAAATGCCTGCCCTATCAGGGCGTGCTGTGCTGACGTCGTATCCTTGACTGGTGGTGTCTGCAGCGGGCAGTAACCATTCGGTGGCGGAGGCCCTGCTCCTCTTCCTGGATGCTCTTCCGGAGCCCGTGGTCTGCTACTCGGCCTACCAGCAGTGCTTGGAGAGCTGCTCGAACGCCAGCCAGTGTAAAAAGGTCAGGCGGGGCCGGGAAGTGAGCGGCCACAGTGCGTGGGGGGTGGGAGCGTTAGCGTCGCGCGATGTCAGCGCCAGGAGCTAGCTGGCTGTAAGTGGGTTAGGCCAAGTGCTGACTGACAGAGGCCTTCTGTCTCATCTATGCTTAATACCTAGAAGCAAAGAACTTCGTGTGTGCAATCGGCCATCTTTTGATGGACTGGAATTTAGTTTGCATTGTCTGATTATGTTTTTTGTCTGTACAGGTTATTTCATCACTACCTCAGTGTCATAAAAATGTGTTCAACTATCTGACAGCTTTTCTACGAGAGTTGCTGAAATATTCAGAATATAATCAACTGGATACCAGCATCTTGGGTAGGAATATTTCTATTTGACTTTTTTTTTTCCTTTTTCTTTAGTAGCCATCTGCCCTGATTTTGTGAGAAGTTGCTTAGTGTCTCATAGATGTTTCAGTTCTTCCTTCTGAATCTCTTTCTTTTGCTGCTATATAGTTGGTATAATGAATAATGTAATAGGAAACAACGTCTGAGTCACAGGAACTGTCACACACTTGATGAAGCTGTGAATTGCATTCTGTGCGAAAAAATATTAACTTTCTCTTTATGATTAAAATGGAACATTTCGAATGCTTTCCAAAATGTTTCCCCCTCTGTGATTCAAGTTCTTTAAGATGTAAATCAGTCTGGCAGGTTCTGCAGTAATTACCTCGGATGTAATATATGGCCTTGTTTTTATATAAATACTTTTTTGTTGCAATCCTAAACTGATTAAACTAATCTGTTAAGTTATGATCCCATGTGAGTCCGTAATGAACTTAATTCAGAATGTACACGGAGAATGAGAGAACAGGCAAGGGCTCAGGATGCCTAATATTTATCTAGATGTATTCACATCACCTTCATAAGCTTCCAAGCAGAAGCTCTGTGCTGATGGTGAAAAATATTACCTACTGGGATGTGCTGCACTGAAGGGCAACCAGTGCCTGGTGGAATTATAGAAGGTGTTTGCATGTCAGGATCTTCATTACAAAGGAAGTCATTTGCTGTACTTTGCACCTGTTTCTGGTCAATCATTGGGCACTCAGACCAGCAGCACCTGTTTCTAAGCTAGTGCCTTGACAAATATGTGCTTGTAATGTAATTCTCTACATCACTAGTAAGTGTAGGTACTTTTTATGTGTCCGTACCATTCTGCAGAATCTGCCATTTCCCTGCAGCTTATGAAAAAACTTTTGGATGTCAGCGGACTTCAGTAAATGTTCAGTCTCCCTGACTACCTTGAAATGGAACGTATGTACTAATTTGAGGGAGGGATTTGAAGTAAATGGTAATAGAATGCACTAGCTGTCAGCCATATGGAGCAATAAACCTAAGACATTGTATTGGATCCTGTCTCAGCACCCATAACATCACACTGTTGTAATGCACTTTTCAGTGAAATCACAAACAACTCGTACTGCTACCGGGCAAATGTTTCAGTGTTTTTAATTTGAACTACTTTGCAAAAACAGCAAATATAATTGCACACATTAATAAATAACTGTCAGTGAAATCTTTTTTTCTCCCTTACTGCAAACTGAAGTAATATTTCCATAATTATTTGACTGAATATCTGCTAAAGACACAAAAGAGGTTCCACCTTTATATTTGGGAGCCGTGTACCTTTGAAATGTAATAAAATACAATGTAAAAGTCATAGTGAAAATACATTATTATGCTCTATTATGACCTACTTTGACCCTGTATATTCAGTTATAATTGATGGGTAATTAAATGGTTCCCCTTCTCGTCCACAGCAACCATCTTTTCCGCCTTTTTACTGAGGTCATCAGCGAAGCAGGAGCAGGCAGAGAGGAAGAAGACCTGGGATTTCCTCACGCATTTCCTCATCCCAGATCATTCATGACCACATTCCCGTGGTTTTGGAAAAACATACACATACACAGCTTAATGTATAGAACAATATTTTTATATAAAAATTGGAATTTGATACGTGCATAGATAATTTGTTGTACCTTCGTTTTCAAAATGAAGTACAGAGCAGCAAATAGTTTTAACATGAGCTGTTAATTTACCAGAAGACTTGTAGAAAACTGACATTTTTAAAAAGTATGTATTTACATGTTAGATTCAGTTCATTTGTACTGTTTGTAAAGTCATTCTTTTTTTATATATAAATTGCTAGCTGTATGTCTATATGCTTTAACTCCGTGGCTTCATTTTGATTTGTTATAATTAAAATATTTTAATTTAAATACAGTCTGGTTTTGAAGTGTTAAGTGTGAGCGAATTACAACAAAGGGGACACAGCATCAACACATAGGAATCTATTGCCTTGTGGTTGGCCATAATTCTCGGACTCTGCGTTGTTGCTCAACAGAAATGCCACTGGAAAACTAACGAACAACCTCCAGCTAACCCAAGTGGTATTGCAGGGAAGAATGATGCGGTGATTTGATCGTAGCAACAGCACTTAGTGACTATTTGCAGATTTAGATGCAATGGTCTTTTTTTCATGTTTTATAGTAAATGTAGTATTTGTTAATACTTTGATTAAATTAAACACGGATGTGATCCAGAAGTAAGTTAACTACTAAGACCAAATTGAAACTATCATTTTTAACATTAAAAAAGTATCGAATCGAGACAAAAGATTGCCAGATTAATCGCTATAAATGCATTATAGGTATTTTCACGGGAAAACTATGGGGCAGAACAACCTATAGTGACTAGCAACAAATAATAGCGATTTAAAGTGAATTATGTGATTCGAAAGGTTAAAGTAATCTTCAAAAAGCAGTAGTTATGTTAAAACGTCGCCCTTTAGAGGGAAAAAAAATACAATCACGTCATTTATTAGCCTGATATAAAACACACGGAATCCTCTATAATAGTACGAATGGCTCCCTTACATGCACCGAAAGTAAGTATAACCGAATGACGCCGAGCCACGCGTGACTGGAAGCAAGACAATCCGGGTTGCTGACTGTAATTGGCTGGTTTTTAACAGACAAGAGGCAGATCGGACTGTACTGGGCTGTGAAAAATAGACTGACAGGAAACCAGACGCGCACTGTAGTGAAAGACAGACCGAGAACCGGACCGCACTGAGATATGACAACGCGCGGACCCCCACCGCACGGAGATTTCTTGGACATTCCTTTGACAGACTGATAGAAAGACATACAGATATACTGGAGATCGGATCGCACAAAAATTTGTGACAAACAAAGCGGGGAGCGGACCGCACGGTGGTTTGACAGCGGCAGACGGAGCAGCGGATCGCGCGTTCCCATGATGCTCTGGGAAGAGGAAGCCGAGGCGTGACGACGTTTTAATCATGGTAGCGCTGGGGAGGGGAAGAGGAGAAAGTGCTAGCAACCCGAAATTCGCAGCGAGTCGGCGTCGTTTCTCCACCGGTAATCCTCTTTCCATGTATAACATTACCTAAGTACTGCCGTGAGCGTGTCGAGTTTTCGGTAGATATTACCTGCGTTTTTGGTTTGTTATAATTTACTGTTTTTTGACAAGAGTTGGTGCTCTTTGCTGTCGCGAGCTGGCCGTTAAGCTAGATGCGTCTAAAAGAGTCCGCTGCTACTAGTTAAAAACTAACCAACTGAATCATTTGGATGCCCATTAAAATTTGTACTTCGGCGAGTTTTAGATTATGGTTAATAAACGTGTAGCTCCTACTGGGTGACTAGTTAGCTGGTCGCGTTATGTTGGCAGTGACAGTTGGTGGCTAGGCTAGTTGTATAAGGTTTGTATTGAGCCAAAAGGACTAGTCATGGTGGATGTCTGCTAGTAGTACTAGGTTATCCTAAACGGTGTAAACATCTAGTAGCCCAGCTCGGCAGGTACCGGATAGTTGCTAGTTAAATGAACTGTTTTCTGTCAAAAAACAAGCCAAGCCGCTAACTTGCTAACTAGCGGCTAGGTTAGTCAGCAGCGCATTACTAATAATTTTCCCGCAAGTTTTCCTCTTTATTTAAATCATTAGTTTCATCTTGGTGTTGTCCATGATGGTGATTATCCTCACAGGATATTTCGGCGAGTGCTAGCTGGGTCATAGCCGCCGAGGAGGTGGAAAGCGGCATGTCACAGCTAGACCCTGTCATAGCCAAATACCTTCGGGTTTAGCTTAGTCCTGTCAACCCCCAAGACCAGACCCCATCAAGAGCTTCTGAATTTGTTGTTTTTAAGTGTCATCCCTCCTTTAGTCATTTTTTCAGCGTAAAATCTGTACATGTACATCTTACAGAGATGATAAGAGTACAGTGGACAGCATAAAGCAAAGTGACAGGTTGTATCTCGATTAACAATAAAAGTATTTAAAAATCATATTTTAACCTGCATGTAAATCAATTGATAATTTTATAGGCGAACGTTTGTAAAAGCAGACATGTTAATAGATTTTGCTTTATTGGCAATATACTATAACTAGAATATTATACGTTTGTTATTTGTTGTATAGATAGTAACGGGCCTGTCCGTTACATTAATGCCTAAAGATAGGCTAGCTCCCGCATGTAGTAATGCACCGTCTGTTCATTCAGTCGTTTAAAGCGAACTTTTATTTTGACGTTTTGTCGCTCACTAACTTCCAATGTCGTTTTTGGGAATATATCACACTTGAGCTTTTATATTTTGTATCGATTGGGTTTTGTAGATCGGACAGCACGGAATGAGCTTCCTGAAAATCCATGGACTGCCGTTTTCAGTGGCTATAGGACATTTCACCATGTCACAGATGTTTTATATGTATGTTTCGTGGCAGATGTGCTCACTGTAATGCAGAGTGATAAATACAGATTTTCTGACCATGGTTATGATCAGTCGATGCTTCTCACACCCAGTCCTTTGGGAACATGCTGAACTCTTAGTTAATTAGCTGCTACTTGGCTGCCAGTATGAAAAATACTTTTGATATGCCATAAAAATGTTGATATCCCTCACACTCAGGCACTGAATTATTTCACCACCCAAAAGATATTGATTAAATTGTTAAAGTTTTTCTTTATTGGTAGTACTCAAACTATTTGTTGAATGCTTTTGTGACAAAAATGTTACTTACGTTCTCGTTTCTACTCCATAATATTAAAAATATTTGTGCATCTTAATCCTTATGAAAATGGATCAGTATGCTGTTTCTTTCTGACTTTTGTCCTAATGGTCTAGCCATTTGTTATGTTAAAGGCGGCTTCCATGCCTAAATACCCCTAAACAAAGAAATATTATTTTCAAACAGAGTAGCAAATTCTTGAGAAGCAGTTTGAATTGCCCAGGGTTACACAACGTCTTAGTTTATTTTTAATATATTGACTCTTGCAATAACAGAATTGGCACAATGCATTAACTAGTGTAAAAATGTTTTCAGCATATTCTAACAGACTTATATCACACGGAGCTTGCTTCTTGATTTTTTTTTTTATAAGTTAACTTTCTAAATGCCATTTCTGTGTTCATATGAATTTAAAATAAGTACCACAGGCATGTTATGCATTTTACTTTCCATTCTGCAGACAAGTGTGTGTGTGTAGATGATGAAATTGTTTTTTTTTTTTTTGAGTTAATGATTGGTGTATGGAATTTTGCGCTCACTCATTCAGTTAATGAATATAACACAAGTAACAATGCGGACGTCAGCCTTCTGATATCCCCATCATGGAAGGCGGTGCCATGCCACAGCTATTTTGTTTTCGTAACGTGTTCATGATGCTTGACACTAGCTGAAAATAGTATGTTGTCATTCTTCCACTTACCTTGCATGTGCTTTGCTGAAAGTCTGGCTGCTTGCCTTTCCATTAGTCAGTGTAAGTAGTAAAACCAAGGGTAATATCTGGCATCTCTTTTAACATTCAGGTGGAAACAATGTATTGGAAACAGAATTCTTGAGGTTAATGATCAATGCTCATCCAAGAGATGAAAAAATATATGCACAATAATAGTCTTGCTTCTATTTTATTTTCCTTGTTTAAAGCTCAATTACTGTTGGAATCTCTGAAACTCCCTTGTTCGGTTGTCCGCTGTGGTTTCACTCCTTTCTGCTGTTTCAGTAGTTTCCTACTGACAGAAAGCATCAGAAAGAGTAGAAACCAGAAGGCATTTTACAGATCAGCTAAATCAGTCCTTCATTCTTTGTGCAGTTGTTAAACATGGCTGTAATATTTCATTCACCAAGTATCAGTAGTTTAAAATCTTGCAGAAGTGTGTTTATATTCAGTTGGTTGAAAATATTGTCTTTGAGAAGTCTTCACTTTGTATAATTCTGAAAGAAGCTCAGTGTTCAAAAATGTGTGTTTGAAAGGGACCCGCCTAAGAGACTAGTGCCTCATTCAGAGAGCGGTGTGGCTGTCCATTCTAAAACTGACTCCCACTCCCATCTCTGCAGGGCACTTCAGTGCACCGCCAACAGAGAGGGCGTGATCACGCTGTGCACCACCATGGGCGAAAATGGCCCTGACAAGGAGGCCATGTACTTCAAAGGGGAGACGGGGAATCTGACCCAGGAGGAGGACGATGACAAAATGGTGGACTTCGACAAAGATGGCCTGATGCCGCCATCGTCCTCTTCCCCTTCGCGGCGCATTTACGACCGCACCACCGTGCTTATTGAGCAGGACCCCATCAACCTGGACGAGGAAGGCGAGGATGATGGCCAGTGTGACAACATGGCTCTGCTGGCCGACGGTGACGAGGAGGCCAGCCTGGCCTTCATGGTGGACCCTGATGGAATGTCACAGGGCTATGTCCACCACACCATCTCGCCAGACCAGATCCAGTTCATCATCAACCCCGGGTCTACTCCTATGCCACGGAACATCGAAGGGGCCACTCTTACCCTGCACTCGGAATGTCCAGAAACCAAGCAAAGAGAGGTAATCCCCACTTCTTGGTTCATTACCTAAGAAATATAGGTGTGAGGCATTTCTGTTAGCAGGAGCTAATGTAGGCATATGTTCCAAAAGCAGACTGAGGAGTTCTGGACGTTTGTGGTTTAAGCCTATGCTGTGATGCCCCCCATCTGTCTGATGGATTTCTGTGGTGCTCTTTTTGTCCAGAGGGAAGGAGTTTGTTTTAGTCGCAGTGATTGGCATGAAACAAAGGTGCAGGATTCCCTCTAGCTTGCACTGAAAGATGTAGCTGCTGTGTAAACATGGCCAGATTAGTGTTTGCAGAATAAAATACTTAAAAACATAGAATTGTTTTTGTAAATATCTCAGCTGTAGTGCTGATTAATGACCTGGCATTCTGGTCCAGATGGCACATCAGGCCTTGGTTCATTTTTGACTCACTCTGGATAACTTTCCCTGCCGCTCTCTTCATTAATGTTTATATGAAGACTACCTATTTCCAGGGTGGGCTTTTCAGTCAAACCCCAACATGGGAGTGCAGCGAGTGCCCTGTATTCTGGTCTGTAGCCTTTGACCTGCTTTGCAGAGTCAGACCCCTGGACAGAGAGCTTCTTCCTGTGTTACCACAGTTTTTAGGATGCCAACCCTTCCCCTGCTTACACGCTATTGCATTGTTTTGTAAGAACCAGGACTGTGGTCTTGCGTCACGTCGGATACATCGCATCACTGCCAGGAAGGCATTTCACATGCCTGCCAATAAGTAAAGCTGGGTCAGATGGTTTTCCAAAGTGTGTTGCTTTGTTACTTTCAAACAAATGAAATAGTTTAGCTTTGCACGAAAGTTGTGGGACTGTTATCTCAGTTGGTAAGGAGCTTAAGCTATGGGGCAGTGAGAAGTTCAACAAATCTTAGGCAGGAAATAAGAAATGATTTGTTTAACTGCCAACATGATGCTGGAATGTAAAGCATTTGTGAGCAAGAGGGAGTTGTTTGAAGCAAGTTTCTCCAATTAGCTTTATGGAGCATTTCAAACATGGTGTAGTTGTAGGTGTTCAAGCTAAATACAGACTGGTTTGGCAACCGTAATTAGACTAGCACGGCGAGTGCAGAGTAATTATTCTGAATCCATGCTGTCTTGATTATCTGGGCAACTGAGATGCGTTGTTTGCTCTGCCTCGTGGCTCTGAGGAGTCTCTTTGAGCAGAGACCAAGTAGACTGCGCAGTGCTGGATGACTGTGCCCGTCATGGGCTGACAGGCTGGCTCTGCCTCTTTTCCTGGCACGTAGCAGGAGGCGTTGCGGATAATGGCGTAAAAGGAGCTGTCAGATCTGCAATAGGAATAGTTAATAGGCCGCTTTGCTGTATCGTGTCTCTGTTCAGACAGTGATGTTTGTGTCTTTGTCCTCTGCTGTGTAATGTTAGAGTTCCTTGTAACAGCCCCCCCCCCACCCCCCCCAAAAAAAACTAGGCTATGGCAACAGCCTATCACCTCACCTATCAGTAACCTAGAAATAAGAGGAAATGCTGTTTTCAGTATGAATGTAACACATTTTTTGAAATGGATATGGTTGCCCCAAGGCCATAGCTACCACGTGAGCTCATGTGATACATCTCAATCCACACTCACAAAGCATCTGACGTCTCGAAATGCACCCACTCCACGTGTTCACATCTGGGAAAGGCTCTTTTTCGTGACCTTTTAAGACCTTTGACCTGTATCACTTTGCCTGAGGTGGGAATGAGTGCTGGTATCTACCCCATGCTGGCTTTGTGAAGGAGGCAGCCAAACAGGGGAGCTCATCTCCAGATAGAGGGAGACGTTTATGCTGCACAATTACACAAAACATTGACACATTTGAAATTGTGAAATGCTGCCAATTCAGTGCACAGATCTTAGTATGGGGGAAAAAAAAAAACAAATATAGCAAATGTGCTTCTCAGTCTGTAGTTAAGCTTCTGATTTACATGTCTGCATTCGAATCTGACTCGTCCCCAAATGTCAAGTGATATTCTGTTCTCAGAGACTTATCTGCTTAACAGCTCTTGGTAGAAACAGAGGAGTGATGTAAGCAATTGACCATGGCTGATTTAAAGAGGGAACTCAATGGACTCTTTGCATAATTTGATTATTAAATGAATCCTCCTAGCCTTATCAGCAGTTATATCAGTACAAGGCACTCCGCAATAGTGTCTTACAATTGCATCAACAGTACTACTGTTTTGTTAATTGGATATCATGGCTGGAGCTCTTTGCTTTCTGTACTGCCTACCTGTAAAACATAATGCATAATGTTGTAATGCTGCTAGATACAGACACAGCAGGAATCCATATTTGATTAATCTGTTTTTTTTTTTTATGAATACAATTTTAAAATGCTAGAAAATGGGCCAGGATTGCTGGAAAATAAATGCTAAGTGGAACCAACACAAAGGACACACAGGTCCAGTAGTATTTCATCATATGCAGAGCAGCAGAGATTGTCAATCTTAAAGACTGATATAACAGTGACTCATGTGATGTTCTCTTATGTAAGAATATCTATTCTTTTAAAATGCATATTGTAATATATTAGGAATATATCAACTGAAGATTTATTTAATATGTCCTTTAAGTAAATGACTTTCCCCTTGAACTAGTACTGAATTGATGGTTGCAGAGAGACTCTGCCTTTTGCTGACTACTTTGGTGGGTTATGTGCTCTTCCAGGCATTAGAAAGGTTTGACAAACAACGTATATGGAACATGGGCTCCCACTCTGCCAGTATAAACCAGGGTGGTGTCAGCATGACCCAGTGACCTGTGTATCATCACCTTGGTTGCAGGTTAATCAGCGGACGCCTAAGTGAGATCAGTGTGCAGTCCAAATTTCAGGGCTGCCCATTGAAGCTTTTTTTTTTTACTTTAAAGCAGCTGTCTAGCAGACATGGTCTGGCATTTTGCATATTTGTTGTTACTTTGTTATTCACTGTTAATTTACTATGATCTGTCAAGACAGGTAGCATAAGGTCAGCTGGCCGGTGCTGTCAGTTTAGTTTGCTTTTATTGAATCAGTGTAGGAACCATTTTATGAAGTACACAATTGCTTGGCTTTGTCAGTTGTCCACTCTTCACCTCCCACAGCTTCTGTTTGTCTTTATCCTTTATGTACTTTTTCGTTTCCTTGTAATTTGCAGGTGTTTTCTGCTAGGTGCTCCCTGCCACTTAAGAGTGCATTGTTTGACATCACTGTAAGGTTGGCTCAGTAGGATTTCCTGGTGCATTTTCAGAAACTGACACAGGCTCATGTTAAATCATAGCGCCTTGTTGTGTTTGTCCCCTGTGTGGAGTGAGTGTGGGGGACAAGCTTCCAATCCCGTTGACTTTGTGGTTGATCTGAAACAACAACGGGCACATAACCTACTTCCTCTTTCCCACAGTCCTCCCCTCTCACCTAATCACTCTGCTCTCTGCGTCAGGCCCAGCCGCAGCATCTGCTCAGCTGCCCTCCATGATTGACAGGGCCGTGTCACACAGGCGGGGGGATTACGGTCACCATACTGACTAACTTTACTTCCTCCCCAGGAGTACTCCATGTACCACCGCTCATGTTTAACAATATTCTTCTTTTTGGCTGTATAGTTAATATGGAACTTTCAATGACCTTAATATGAATTGACATCATGAAATGTTTAAATCAAAATAGTATACAGTGGTTGAGAAACTTATTGGGGTGGGGCTCCTTTCAAACACACTCTTTGAATCGATTACTGCAGCGAGCTTCAGACAACACCCTTCGCTTCTTCTTTAGTGCAGAGTCACCCGCAAGTGTTTCCACACTGGTCATGTGTGTTGAGGCCCACATTCTCCCACTGTTGCTTCCTCTGTAAGCGAACCCATTTTTAGCCCTGGGTTTTTTTTTTTTTTCCCCTGTAAACCGAAACATGAGGTTGTCAACATCAAATGCCTCGAACGTCAGTTAATACATCATCTTTGAGCTTTTAACCTGTGCAACATTTCAGCCTATATAAATGCTTGGCTTTAAATGCCAACTTTATATAAGCCGCCTCTCGTTTTTCATAATGGATCTTATTGTGCAAGATGTGGACCTCAAGCCATAGAACATTCCGGGCCCAACTATCCTGCTCATGAAGGACAGTCAATAAAGCCCAAGCTAAATGTTCATAAACCCCCTCCCACAGGTGAAGCGGTACCAGTGCATGTTCGAGGGCTGCACTCGGACCTATAGCACGGCGGGCAACCTACGCACGCACCAGAAAACGCACCGCGGCGAGTACACCTTCGTGTGCAACCAGCAGGGCTGCGGGAAGGCCTTCCTCACCTCCTACAGCCTGAAGATCCACGTGCGCGTGCACACCAAGGAGAAGCCCTTCGAGTGTGACGTGCAGGGCTGCGAGAAGGCCTTCAACACGCTGTACAGGTGGGGTACCGCTGGAGTGGAATGGGCTCCTCTTTGTCACCTCTTTGTGTGATTTATAGTACCTAAGGTTGTGTGTCACCTGCATGGTAGGCAAAAATCTATGCTGTGATTCAATGTAGATGCTTTGGAAATCAATTATGTAATTTTATTGATAATTTATTAGAAATACGTAATTTGAAAGGTTAACCGAGGAAAAACACACATTAAATGACACACTGCCCGGCCAAAAAAAAAGTCGCCATTTGAATTTATATCAGCAAATACTTAAGAGCCAATGACTGGATCATTATTACAGCCCAGCAACATTATGCAGTAATAAAGTAAAACCAGCTGAGTACCTGAATCTACTGAATGGCCAGGTTACACCTCCATCCATCATCAATGGATCTTTTTCTTCCCTATTGGCATGGGCATATTCCAGGACAAGAATGCCAAGATTCATTGGGTTCGAATTGTCAAAGAGTGGTTCAGGGAGCATGAGGCATCATTTTCACCACAGAATTGTGACTTTAACCTCATTGAAGGTCTTTGGGATGTGCTGAAGGAGGCTTTATGGAGTGGTTCAACTCACTTGTCAGTACAGGATCTCAGTGAGAAATGAATGCAAATCTGGATAAAAGTAAAGGGTGAGATGTTGCATAAGCGTGTGGAAACAATGCCATGACAAATGAGCACCACAATCAAAGCTAAAGGCGGTCCAATGAAAAATTCAAATGGCAACATTTTTTTTTTGACCGGGCAAAAGGTATTTATGCCTTTTACTGTGTATTTTAATATAAGTAATATGCTTAACAGTCTGACATTTGTTAATGTATTTTAATGGCTGAAAGAATAACTAAGGTTGTCTGTTCACTAGGGATGTGACGATACACTCAACTCACGATTCAATACGATTCTTGAGTTCACGATACGATTTTCTCACGATTTTTTAACAAAATGAGCTGCAGACAAATTTATTCAAAAATATTCCTTTCTTTCAAAAAAATGTGTCCTCTTCTTAACAGTGCAACTGAAATTAAATAAAATACTGTTTAAAAAAAAAAAATTCCAAATCAAAATAAAAAAATAAAAAAAAACTTCAAATAAACGGTAATGCTTTACATTAACTGCACCTTCATAATGCTTTTATATTGCATTCATAAAATGTTCAGTAGACCTTCATAATGTATTCATTAAGTATTCAGAAATCATTCATAAACATCATGCATGTATACCTTTACATCCTAACATCCCTTAACAGCTGTAATATACATTAATAACAAAGATTATATAATAGCAAACTTTATAATTGTATAATCATGTAATGTTTGTTATTAGTGTATATTAAAGCTGTTAAGGGATGTTAGGATGTTAAAGTGTACTTGCATGCTGCTTATGAATGTTCTATGAATGCATTATGAAGGTGCACTGAATGTTCTATAAATGCATAATGAATGCATTATGAAGGTGCACTTAATATAAAGCGTTACCAAATAAACTAAGGCTTGCATGTGCAGCTTTTTAGCGTGGTTTGCCCTTTTAATAATCTTCGTTCTGGCGGTGGTGAATTGAGCTCACTGTGGTGACGGTGGACATGCTACAGTATTTGTGTATGTTATCAGTCTTTTACAATGTTTGCATGCAGTTTTTGTCGTGTCTGTGCTTTTCTCGCCGTTTTCGTTTCTGATTACCGGAAAGCTAAAATGCTGCCACAGTGGCAATTTAAGATCGGGGGGTGTGTCCTCAATATCAAATTCGCTGGCCATCTCGCGTTCGGTCAAAACGTACGACGTTGACGTGAATACGCAGTGACATCTGACGTCGAATTGACGTTGTGAAATCAAATGTAGTATTACACCAGTTTTCCTGTTAAGTAAAGTACCATGAAGTACTCCTAAAGTAGCGATTCATTTTCCACATCAGCCAGTTTAAATTGTCACACATTTACATTGATTTTTAACCAATTCGCGATTCATTGTTACATGCCTACTGTTCATTGATTTCAATTCAGTCTGGGGTCTGTCACCTTTCTGACCTCTCTTCACCATACTGCTGTTCGGCTACCCAACAGTGGGTTTCTAACCTCACTGTGTGTGTGTGTGTGTGTGTGTGTGTGTGTGTGTGTGTGTGCGCGCACGCGCGTGCGCATCTGCAGACTGAAAGCACACCAGAGGCTGCACACGGGGAAGACGTTCAACTGTGAATCGGAAGGATGCACCAAGTACTTTACCACACTCAGCGACCTGAGGAAGCACATCCGCACGCACACCGGGGAGAAGCCGTTCCGGTCAGTGCCAGCTGTAGCGAGAACAGCTCGTGGCTCATGCTGCGTGGGGATTGTCTCCTTTAGTGTACTGGGGGAAAATACAAATGAACATCATGGCCTATGCTCAGGATGCAAGCCTAGTACTCCGCTCCCCTACTCTTCCAGCATGGCCACTTAAAATCACAGAAGTCATTATTATGCTTTTTTTGGTTCATGTGCATGTGTCTTTAGTTACTCTAAAGATAAATACCCTCCTGATCTCTCATGCTGCAATGTCCGTTACTGCTCGGGCCCGTGCTATTGGTGTGCCGCCTGGTTTTCCCTCCCCTGCCCATGTGGACAGCAGGTCCTGACTCATGACCCTCTGCGTCTCCTTCAGGTGTGACCACGACGGCTGCGGGAAAGCGTTTGCCGCGAGTCACCACCTGAAGACCCACGTCCGGACCCACACAGGTAACTGTCGGACTGCCATGTCACTGTGATGCTTAAAATACCTCTTTCCACTTAACATTGACAGATTCGGGTTAAGCGTTCTTAGCTCTGCCAGTACGGGTGTACGGTTTTGCTTGTACCTGAGTGTAACTTTGCCCAGAGACACCAAAGCCATGTTGTCCCGTTTGTAAGTCTGTTTGCCGCTGCCGTGGAAGGAAGAAGCGAACGGTCGAGGCTCCTCTCCGATGTCGCTGAGTCAGCGGGGAGGGGCGCCCTAGCAAGGCTGTTTAACAGCACTGGGAGAGCAGCGGGCTCTGAGTCCACGGATGACCTCCTTACAGGCTTTGGACGTTGCCGACCTGCGTGAGGCGTTATAAAAAGACAGGATAGACACACCACTTTCTGAGAGGCTCATGTGACTGATCATGTGACTGATCATGTGATTGCCTGTATGTGCCCCAGGGGAGAAGCCATTCCTCTGTCCCAGCGACGGCTGCGAAAAGACCTTCAGCTCCCAGTACAGCCTGAAGAGCCACATCCGGGGCCACGATAAGGGGCCCAACTTCGTGCTGAGCAACTCGCTCAATGAGGCAAGGCCCTCCTCAGGCTGCCCCCTGCTGGGCAAATGACAGGCATGCTTAGTGTAGCCTTTGCAAGGGTCAAGCAGCTTTTGTACTCTGTGTGTAAGGACATCGAGGCATCTTAACACACCGAGGGGTCTTTTGGAATTTCCCTTCCTGAGTCTTAATTGGCTCAGCTCCCTCCAGAAAGGTTAACATCTGTATTTTACATTTGCTAAGTAAAACTTTATTCTCCCTATTTTTCATTCTTTTTCTGGATTCTTTTCTTCAGGATGCGAATCATTCTCTTTGCCTCAGTGATTTGAGCCTGCTCTCCACAGACTCTGAGCTCAAAGAAAACATGCAGAACGTAAGTAAGCCTTGGGCTGTTGGCTCTCTCCGTGACATACCATGGCACCATCGCGATGGAGCTCGTCTGATTTAATTCCGGTGCATCTTGCAGTCTCAAGGTCTGGATCTGAATAGCGTCACGCCCGTGAGGATATTCGAGCTGATGTTCCAGAGTCCAGAAAACAGTGTCAGTCAGGACGAGGCCCAGCCCCCAGGTAGGGAGAGCCATGCTGACTGCCGCCCCCAGGCTGAAGCCCAGCTTGGCGCATAACCTGCTTTCTGTCTGCACGCTGCAGATAACCTCACAGAGGCCTTCAGCTCAGAAGAGCCGGCCCTGCCCACAGCCACTGTGGGTGATGGTGGCTCCATGGCTTCTGGGGCTCTGCCTTTTTCTTCATCCTCTTCCTCCTCCTCTTTGAACACCCCTGTCTTGGAGGCCCCCCCGCAGACTGCTTCCCTGGCCCCCTCCCAAGCCACAAGCTCTGCCCCCACCACGCTGGGCCCCTCCCCAGTGACCTTTGCACCCTTGTCGGGGATGACCCAGGGGCCAGAGGGGCCCAGCCAGCAGGGTTCCCAGCACTACCTGACCCTCCCAGCTAAGTTCCTGGAGCAGGAAGGACCTGCCCAAACCCAGCCCAGCGCTGCACCGACAGCCCTGCTCCCTGGCGCCGCCCCAGTGGTGACAGCGGCGGAGGCAGTCCCAGCCGCGGTGCACACCGTGCCTTTGACCGCCAACCCCATGCTGACGCCCAGCCCGAGCATCACCATTGCCCCCACCCAGAACCTCCTGCAGCCCAGCATCGTCATGTCGGACCAGAACCTGCAGTGGATTCTCAGTAGCGCCACCAATGCCCAGCAGAGCTCCGAGCCGCCGGTACACACGGTCGCCCCCAATAAATTCTCCAAATCAAATATCAAAATCTAATGAAATGTAAATATTTATGTAAAGAAATTGATTCAGGGCACCAGCTTTGCCTCTAGCAGAGCTAGTTATTTATGTAATGTTATTTGTTTACTTGTGCGTTTTAGTCTGTTTAATCTTCACAATCTTCTGTTTTAGCAGCATCAAGGTACAAAAGTAGAAAAGGTGTTCTTCACCACAGCCATACCAGTAGGAGGGAATTCAGGTGGGTGTGGTGCTGCTGAGTGGGTGTGTCCTTCCTGATGGGCGTGGTGCTGCTGAGTGGGTGTGTCCTTCCTGGTGGGCGTGGTGCTGCTGAGTGGGTGTGTCCTTCCTGGTGGGCGTGGTGCTGCTGAGTGGGTGTGTCCTTCCTGGTGGGCGTAGCCCTGTGCGCAGCTCTCAGATGTGCCCTGTCTCTCACTTCACAGGCAGCTCCGTGCAGCAAATTGGCCTGAGCCTTCCTGTCATTATCATCAAGCAGGAGGAGTCCTGTCAGTGCCAGTGTGCGTGCAGGGACTCCAAAGACAAGGGTAGTACCAAGACCACAGATCTGGCCCCGCCCAAGCCCCCACCCCCTCCGCCAGCCCCGCCTCCCCCTCCCACTGTACCTGCTCCTTCGACAGCCCCGCCTTCATCCCTGGCGTGCTGCTCGGGCCAATCAGTCTCATCTCCCTGCCAGAGGACTGAGGCCCCAGTGCAGGGCGGGACGCAGCAGGGGGTGCCCGCAGCCACTCCCACGCAGACTTTTCCTCCAGAGTCGGGCAGCTCCACAGCACCGGACACCGCTGGCGACGCCCTAATTAACATGGACGTTTCCGACTTCCTGTCCCTGCAGAGCCCCGAGACACCCGCGAGCATGAGCGCCATCGAGGCTCTGCTCCTCGTGGCCGACGACTTCTCCGGGGGCGGGACACAGGCGGGCGGCTTCGCCAAATGAACTGTCCGGTGGGGAGAAAGCCGTCACGGGGTGCAGTGCATTCTGGGTATCATATGGCGCTCTCAGCCTGGAGCCGTACCGTCGCCGACAGTCGTGGGCGGTGCTGCTCACCTGTGCACATGAGTAGTTCTGTACTCTCTTCTGGTGTGATCTGCATCTCTGACGTGTGTCCTGAAAACTAACACTAAACACTGGCAAAGCTGAGGTGGCATTTTCCTAACAAAAAACATATGCATTGTACTTCACTGTAGCTTAACTCCCAAAAGTACGCTTGTAGTTACACTAAGGATTAAGTCAACGCTGAACTAGATGTTAAATTACTGTCACCTCTGAAAGGGAAGCCAGCGCACTGAGCGGAGGAAGCCTTTGTCCCAGCAGTCTGCCTTGCTTTGCCGGATGCAGAGCCGAGTGGATGTCTGCCGAATAAACAGAATGTACTGCATGCTGGGAGAGTCGGTCAGGTTTCTGAGCAGCGTCTCACACGTGATTCGCTACGTGGCCCTGTGGGGCGGGACTAGAGGCGGTCCCACCAAATGTCTTGTGGGATTGAAAATATCGTGTAGAATTTTTACTAGAAATACTAGTATCATCCAGAAGATGTGATCACAGTCCAGGTTAATCTAGTAACTTTTGTTTCCCCACCTTTTTATACTCCTGTTCGTATCGATTGTAAAACATGTAACAAACTTGCTTGCCTTTTAACTCCGATTCAAAGTTATATGTTGCAAACAATTGCCTATTACTAAATTAATATTTAATTTTTTTAGATAATTTATTCAAGTGTTTAATTTCTGCCATTAGAATTACTTGTCAGATTCCTTTGGGGTTTGTCTTGACTGATATTTGTGGACCAAGTCCTGACATCGTCCTTTTGTAAACCCCCTCAAAGTTACTGCACAGACACCTTCCTTGATGTTACTGATGGTTTTTGTTGTTGCTGTTTTATAAGTGAAGCTTTTCAGGGTCCACAGATATAGTTTTCGGCCTTGGATTTAACCCTGCTGCCCACCCCCCCCTCCCCCTCCCAGACCGTGACTCACAGGCGTCGCCTGTCGCCGTCCTGCTGCTGGGTCCAGTCCCTTCGCTGCCAGTTTGTGACACAGGCAATCAGCTTCACACATTCTGTGTGTTTTAACAACCCCTCAGGGATAGAGTTGAGTGCGACTGATACAACTAGAATAGTTGAGTTTTCCTGCTTTTGTTTCGATGGAGTGCAATTAGACAGCCTGTTTTTGTAGTAACCCACCCTAGTGTCCATGAGTGTGTCTGTTTTTTGTCCCTGTTTGTCCCACAGTACCTAATAGCCATTTAGGTAGGGCCCCTCCCACCGAGCCCGTCAGCACTGAGTGCCCTCGTTTATGTAACACTGCTGTAACCTCGGGAAATGAGCAATTAATCATACTGTAAATACATTTGATAATATCCTTCCTTTAGATTACTGAATTTGTATTTTTGTATAATGTCAGATGTTTAGACTTTGGGTTTGGAGACGGAAGGTACCGGGTTTGTCTTGCTTTTGGGGGGGAGGAGGTGGTTTCATGTCAGTCAGAGAAGGAGTCTTGTAGAGTAGTGTAGGTCTCTGTTCCTGTGTGGTCGCCATAGTGATCCCCATAGGATGGAAAGAAGCGTGAAGGATTGAACTGCTTATCAATACAGTGCTTTTCTGCAGTCCGCTTACCTGCCCGTCCCTCCTACCCAGTATGGTCACAGCACAGTAACACAGGAACATGGGGTGGCAAAGTGCATGCCATCTGCAGTTTTTATTTCTTTTTTGTGCCAAGGAGTCACACGTCATCTGATCTGTGATGTTTCTGCAGTTGCCTTTGAGAGCAGGACCGGGAAACAAAACAAGAAGTGTGTGTTTGTACAGCCAGCCCTCCTACTCCAACGCTCTTTACCATTTTTGTGTGGCTTCATTAATTTTGTTTTCCAAATTTCTGGTTAAAAGATTTCGCATAAGAGCAACTTTAATTAAGCTTTTTTTTACAGATTTTTTCCCCCCTAAACAGTTTTTCTGAAGTGGAAGTAACATTGTATGAAAATTACTTTTAAATTTGGCTGAAAGCATCTGGTGGTGTCATTTGCACCTCAGTGCAGTGTGCTGCTGACCTCATAATCCCATGTTGGCTGTAATTTTGGGCAGGAGGACTGACCCTGTGTTCCATGGCATGTTGACCAAGCATTGTGGGATGTCGGCTAATAGCCTTTGATTTCCATCTTTGTTTTTAAGGACCTTCTTAGAGTAGCTTAGTGTTCTGTGGTATCATAAGCACTTTGTTTTGGAAATATGGGAAGTGTTAGAAGTATGCACATGTAAAATCAGTTTCATCTGTTAATTTATTTTGTTAGCTAATGAACTCAGAGGACAGGAAATTAACAGGTGACGTTCTTTGTCATCTTTTTATGAAGTAGTCCAGCTTGGAATCGGAAAGCTGAATGGTCAAAGACTCGCATGTGGAACAGTATGACACTTCTGGATTTCTGTTTTTTTTTTTTTTTTTTCTCTGCGGCCATTCTGTCTTGGTCAATTGCTTCCAAATGTGGAAAGAAGCTATGCAATGTCTCATTGGCCAGCAGCATTCCCAAGGGGCGGTCCCAATGTCCCGTGTGCATGGGACAGCTGAGGCTGCAAATCTTTCCCATCCTGTTACGGAAGCAGTTGCTTGCGCTCATTACTCAGTGACAGCATGTATCTTGGGAGTGTTTGGAATGGTCAGTTTCTGAGAAAGCAGTGGCAAGTATACATAAAAATGTTGTGTATTTTAAATGGCTGATGCATTCATTCAAATTAATTGCAATATGTAAAACAGACTGTGCGCGCATTTCAGCTTTCATGCATTTGAATCTTTAAAGAGTTTGTTTCCCTTATGCATTGAGTTGTTTTGTCAAACATTACTTTGGGGGCAGATGTTAGACGTGAAAATGAAATTCTGTTGTAAGAATTAGATTAGTCACTTGAGACACAATCTTTTTTTTTTTTTTATAAACATGGAACTCTGGATTGATTTAATGTGTAGTCAGCATTTCCCATAGCCTGCCATTCTCGCATTACTTCAGCATCGTGTGCACCAATTTCAAGGGCATTTACAGCAAAATTTTCAGCCTTTGTGTTAACGTTTCTTTCAAACTCACTTTACCTGGGGGGGGGGAGGTGATCACGGTGCCATCCTACCTGCAGGTGGGGCTCAGACCTTCAGGAGAATAGGTGTGAACAGATCTGATGGTTACACTGTTGCTTCAAAAGCCTGGCTTTTACCAGCCATGCTATAAAATCATGTGGCTGGTTTGAGACCCCCTCCCCCCTTATTAAATGCTCTAGTCCCAGGTTAGGGGGGAAACAAAAAAAATGTAACATTGGTACACTGGATTTGTTCTGCTCTTTTGAGCCACCTGGGGTTAATGAATAGGATTTTTAATGCTTCCAAAGGAAGAGTGTCTCCAAAACCCAAAGAGAGATTAAATTTAACATGTAAAGGATTTGTATTTTAAAAGAATGTACAATGTGAAAATTTGTTTGCTTATATGCTTGTTTTGTATAAAGTATTAAGTAAATATAACTTTTTGGAATTGAAAGCAATATAATACTAATTAAATCCTTTGACTTGTCAGTTTTCCCCACATTTTATTGCTATGAAAACATACAAAGGGTTTCTTCTTGCTGGGGGGTGCATATTCTCTGGAGTCTGCTTTCTATGTGCTTATGTTGCATTTCCATCATTTTTAGCCTGGAAAACAAAAGCAAAATCCATTTGTTCAAGTGCAAAAAAAAAAATAGTGGGAAGGACTCCAAAAGACCCGACCCCCCCCAAACACACAGCCATAACATCCCGCAGAGCCCTCAGGTCCACCAGCAGCTTGTGGCACAGGTCTATCCTCTCCTGAAGTTCGAAAAGTCTCCCATTGAGATCTTTCAGCAGTTCTGCAGGCTGAGAAAAAGGCAGCAGATTATAGGAGTGGAATGTTTCAGGGTGCCCAAGAAAGTGGGATGGGTCTTCAAACATTGAACTTGTTGGCTTGTAGGGAACCAGACCCTTGACCTTATAGTGGGAGAAGCCATTGCCTTAGTAAAATTTGCATTTATTTCCTCACTGGCTGCTTCAGCTTACAACTGACATTCTAAGTTCCAAAAACGTCAGGTCCCTCATTAGCGAATCAAAAAGCATAATACCTTATGTTTGACACTTAGTCTACTGGGGCTAATTCACGGTTTTTAATAGTTAAACAGTCTCCCACAAGTAAAATAAAATACGGAACAAACCTCGTTCTTCAGAGCGTCGGTGTCGCCCGCCGGCTGACTTTTCTCAAGCTCCGTCTCACCTAGCCATTTATTATACTTAAATTTATTGAGATAAACGAACAATGCATATTTCCCAAGGCTTTGTGCTTTAGTATGTTACCTGAATTGGACGCCATCTCTTTTTTCCCCCCACGGACTCACAGTCACACACCTTTTATTTGGCGTGTGTAATTGGCAATCGGTTGTGAAATTTTTAACTAATCTGTTCAATTAGTTGTCCGCGTTATTTAATTAATTTACAAAATGAATGCAATTAATCAAGAGGATGGATGATTACATTACTGGCTTCATTTCTGACATTTTTAATGTTGTGAAACGGCATATTTGGCGTTTAATATGCGCGTGTTACGGCCTCCTGTCCCTTTAAGAAAATAAACCCGGAAGTGCATTGCGATGGATTTCGTCAGAAAACAGCGTGGTTTATGGATCATTTTCACCGGGCGCCTTCTACATGCGTCTGGTCTGGTTCGTGGCTAACATTGCAACACCTTCGCGATTTCAACGTTTCTGGACTAAGCGACAGGCGGAAAGCACAGTAATGTGCAAGGAGCTGAGGACCCGGGTGCTGCGCCTGGGGCCGCGAGCGTTTAACGGGCCTTTACTGGAGGGGGTCTGTCCCGAAGGTGAGCAAGGTGTTGATCCCCTTCTAATTCAGCAATCCCTACCTGCTCCGATGTTGTTCAGGAATTTGACGGTCGTTCCATTACATTTGTATTTTTAATTAATTTAAAGCGGTTTTTAAAAATAACTAACCCATTTTGTAATTTTAACACATCCGAATTGCTAGGAACTATTTTCTGCCGTTTTGGCGTACTACAGAATTTCTTTTGACCAATTAATTAAATGTGTCCTATTTTAAGGAACGTCTCACTTAAAACGTACATTGATATTACGGCATGTGTAATTTGCCAGCTGACGCCTTTAATCTGTGTGTTATGTGATATTTATTATAACTTTGAACCTTCGCAAAACTAGGTGTTTGATTTAATTACGATTAAGTATGCTTCCGAATGTTGAGATAAGCTTCTGTTATACGACTAAGTTGGTATTACTACAGCTAAGGTCAGCCTCCTGGGACGTATCGTGGAATAACGTGGTTCAAGTCCCTCCTACGTCTCATGGAAACACCTCGATCTTCTGTTAAAGAGACATGTGTTCCATTCCAATGGCGAGAACTGACCTGCTGTTACTCAGCAATACCAAATGGAGACGTCCTTTCCGTGTCTAGACTATCAGCAGCCAAACTGCATATAAGTTATGTGCAATTTCTCTTCGTACCTCCTCCAATGTTAAGGGCAGTTTACCCAAGCAACCTCTTAGGAGGTAACCTACACAAATACTGGAAGAGCATGCAAGCAACACAGTCAGCCAGAGGGAATCAAACCACTAACCCTGCAGGTGTGAAACACCACTGTTGCCTTTGTGTGACGTGTGGTTTCTTAAACTGGCAATCTTATTTCATACTATTTCAGGGTGTTGAAACTCTTTAATTGTCTAAAATGGATGTTGATGCTTGTTTAACCCTGACCTGCTAACTCTGGTATTTGTAACTGGATTAGGACTGACACATTCAGGCCAATCAATAGTTCAGCAATACTGTTGTTGTTGTTTCTGTGTGGTGTAATGTTTGGTGAAGTGCAGGTTTCCCGGGCTGTAATTGTAATGTTTGGTTGCCACATAGATACCGAGAGCATCCTGGAGACCACAGTCCAGGCCTTGAAGGAGGGGCAAGTGGTCGCCGTGCCGACGGACACTATATATGGATTGGCCTGCCTGGCGCAGAACTCGGAGGCTGTCGGGAAGGTGTATGACATCAAGGGACGCCACAGTGGGAAGCCATTGGCTATCTGCGTGGGCGAAGTGGAAGACGTATACAAGTAGGTCCAACAGTCTGCCCCACAGCCTGCAGTTGGAGTGGCGGATTAGCGTGTGCCTCATATGCAATATGTTTCTGCTGTTTCAGAGTAATGAAAACTGACATACAATTCTTTGGTAGAATCTGCAAACATAAGTTGTATGCTGATCTTTATATAGGATGGGAAATGTGGTGCTTTTATGCTGTTCCAACAAAAATGACAGCTGGTCTTCAATCAATTTAAAATGGCTAAATAAAAAAAACTATGTAAAAAATTTATTTAATGCCTTTTTTGAGTTACTAAATTGCCCAAAGGTGTGCATGTGTGAGTGAATGGTATGTGAGTGTGCCCTGTGATGGGCTGGCCCCCCGTCCTGGGTTGTTCCCTGCCTCGTGCCCGTAGCTTCCTGGATAGGCTCCGGACCCCCCGCGACCGAGAAGGATAAGCGGTTTGGAATATGGATGGCTGGATGCCTTTTTTGTTTGTAACAGGACCAGTCTTCGCTTCTGGTCAGATTCCTGTTTGTGGAGTCAGGTTTTCAAATATTCAGATAATCTGTTATTTTTATTGGTGGATTGGAGGACAGGTTTGCAGTCACTGTTTAACATGAGCAGCTTTACGTTACACCAAAAACGCACCGCTGGTGATTTCCCGTTCGGCGCTGAGCCTGTCGGGCCCCCCTGTTCAGAATGCGCTTGCTCCCGCACTTCAGGTGCTGTAAGGTAACCGTCCCCGAGGCCCTGCTGAGGGACCTGCTGCCAGGCCCGGTGACGCTGGTCATGGAGAGATCTGACAAGCTGAATCAAGACCTCAACCCCTTCACTTCTGTAAGCCTCTACTTTCCCTTCTGGGGACACTGTTACCCCAAGGCCAGTCTTCAATGTTAATGCTCTTAAATGACTCATGAATTAAATTGCCTTAAAAGTAAACTGAATTAAGCTTTGGTAGAGATTCATTAGCCAACCGGGACTTTGTGCATTGTGAAGATTGTTGTGGACGCAGCTCTGAGTTGCTGTATTTGGACCCCCCCCCCCCCTCAGCTGGTTGGCGTGCGCATCCCAGACCACGCCTTCATCCGCCAGCTGTCCCAGATGTGCGGCGAACCCCTGGCACTCACCAGCGCCAACGTCACCTCCCACACCAGCACCGTCGCCGTGCACGTGAGTCCAAAAGATTCCCTACAGCCTGGAATGTGACGGGGGGGGAAAGTGACCGCAATTCCCAACAGTGGAAGAGCAATTTTTATTTAAGGAAATTCATTATTTACATCGCTTGCGTGACTCTCGCTCATCATGGAAACACTAATAAAAAGATTCTGCCAATTTTAAGAATATCTATCAAGCGTCTTTTACTAAGGCTTACGCGCTCCAATACAGGCCCGATTTTGTTCACACCGTTCCATATCCCATGACCTTGAGTTCAGTTCCCATCCCTTCTGGGAGCGAATGAGCTGCCCAAACACTGGTGTGATTAGAGTCTGTAAGCTAGGCAGTCGTGTCCCTCCCCCGAAAGGTCAGACCCTTTCAGTGCTGTTGCTCTGTCACCTCCTTTCTGCTTAAATCTTTACCCATGATGTATTCAGCTTTTGTTCCAGGTGGGATTTCAGGGGATTTTGCAGAACTCCCCGAGGAGCATTTTGCTCACAATCTCATTCTCTCTGCAGGAGTTTCAGGAGCTGTGGTCCAGGCTGGCCGTGGTGGTCGACGGAGGCCCCATCGGGGATCAGACTCCACAGTCACGTCTGGGGTCGACGGTGGTTGACCTCTCCGCCACAGGCAAATACTGCATCATACGACCGGGCTGGTGGGTATCGGGAAAGCCTGGGCTGTGTAGGATGTTCCTGCGAGCCCTCGATGCACCGCTCTGTCTCTGAGGAAGCCCCGGTCCTCCTCAGCCTGTAGCTGGAATCTCTCCGGGGGCTGCTAGGCACTCATGTCAGTGGAAGAGACCATCTCCGTGCCCCACAGGCCGCGCAGGGCATCACGACTTTCGTTTTGGTGCCCTCTGATGACCGCAATGTTTGAAATGAATGTGGACGTGTCACATTTATATGCAGCCCTAGTCCCTAGTCCGGTAACTAATCTGGTCACCAGCGTAAAAATAATGCAGTAGCGTTTACTGTGGTGTAAAGCCTCGTTCTCGCTGCTTGGACTGTGTCATGGTGTAAACTTTAAAATCTGTCCTCTCCTAACTGCACCCCCCCCCCCTCCTCTTTTGCAGTGCCCTCTCCCCCACCGTCACCCTCCTGGAGGAGAGATATGGACTGATCAGGTGGAACAGGAATTGGGATGGGGGTGACTGAACCGATATTTGCTTCCACCATGATGTGGAACTGGGGGTGTGGCTTTGAAAGTGGGTGGGGTCAGGGGGAGCTGTTCTTTCTGGGTCAGCCCTGATGTGTGTGTGCATTCCTTCATCAGGTGGGGTGTACGGTTTTCATTAATTTCTGGTGGTGTCAGTCACCAATCTCAGGTCTGTTGAGTTGAGGTGTTGCTCAAAGCTTGAAGTGTAAATTTTTTTTGACATTTCCACTGTAAGTGATCTACAGCTGTTTTGTATTCTTTCATAATGGGTTTTGCCCCCCCCCCCTTGCTTTCCCAGCTGATGGGAAATGTGGGGGGTAAGTTGGCGGCTTATTGGTCAGGTGTGATGTCAGTAACCTATAAAGCATAAAGGCCACACCCCTTCAGCTGAGTGCAGCAGCGATTGGCTGGTTTCAGCTGATGTTACGAATGTTCTGTTAAGTAGAATCCCCAAGGGGGCTCAGTGGCCTGTTTATTATTACAGTGTCTGGGCTGATGTAAACCAAACTGTTTTTAATAAATTATTTTTCTTGATGTTTTTGTAATGGATTGCGGTTCTCGGGCACCTCTGTTCCACCACATCACCACACCTCGCCGTCTCCTCAACCGACTTGAATCAATGGACCCAGGCCTACTACTGCAGGCAGAGACTCTCTGAACGAGTGGCGGACTGTAGACAAAAGCTTCTATTACTCCTGCTGGGGCTTCCTGCCCCTCTGGAAAAGGTGACACAGCAGAAAAACGATCCTCTCCATCCACCCGTTGACAAGCAAAGACAGTGTGTTCAGCATGTTCCGAACACCTTCCCTAAACACCCCAAAGCTATCCTCTGCATTATTCTCCCACCCTTGAAGATCTGGGTCATTTTTAACTCAAACCTAAAAAATCCGAATTAAATGTGATTGAGTTTGTTGTTGCTTTTTTTTCTGGTCCATCTATTCAGCAGAGACTGACAGGGACTGGCTGAGTTAGAAGGTGCTTCCTGTTTCTCTGGCTGTCATTCTCAAATGGCTGGGGTACAGCTCAGCAGGTCCAGAATCCATGTCCATGTTTGAAAGGTCATGGCCAGCAGAGTCATCAGATCACCGCTGGGCCCTTGAGCAAGACCCTTAACCCCAACTGCCCAGGGATGTTGGCTGACCCTGGTTACTGACCCAAGACTTTGCTCACTTGTACTTGACTTTTTGACAAAAGCATCTGCTTGACAATTAACCTGAAGGTGAAAATTAAGGTCTCTGCCTGGAAGGGGGGGAAAAAAATAGAAGTTCATTGCTCTGAAGAAGACTGACTGTGTGACCAGGCATTCTGAAAGTGGTTTGTTACCTGCAGGAGCATATAAAGGAACCTTGCCCATTTCAGGCTGTGCAGACTGATTCCAGGGATTGCTTTGCAATCAAATTAATTACTTCTAGTGTCAGTGATAGAGATCACATCGGAGGGTTAAACAGATACTTATCAGAGGTCACAGCCGTATGCGTTTCCGTCTTGGCAGATGTAAGTATCCTCATTCCAGCTGTTGCTCCCAGAGCAGCATGGCTGACATGGTGGAGAGTGGTGAAATGTCTCAATAAGTATCGGGAGAGAGATTTTATTTGATGCTGGGGGCCGCTGTGACTGAGGGGGGTATGTTGTTCTGCAGTTTCACTCTTTGGGATTGAAGGAGAGGCAGGGTGGCAGAATGGAGTATTGTTAGTCACGTGGTTCCCCACCCCCATTCAGAGCGGTTTCTCTGCGTATAGTTACTGTTTCAGAAGCTGGAGGGAGGGAACCAGGGAAGGTTCTGGCAGAGCACAGGGTGCAAGGTGTGGTCCAAAAGATCAGAACAAGAGCAAGATTTGTCTCTGGTCTGGAACCTTCTGACTCATTATGGAAAGACTGGGCAAGCAGGAGCTGCTAAGTCCCAGATTTGGCATGTTTTAGAGATGGAGGATGTCTGAATAATCTGGTGCAAATAGGAAGTTTCCAAGGAGGAATGGGAGTTTCCTGGAAGTCGCCAACGACCTCCCAACAAGTCATGTGAATCGACGTCTATCAAGGAGGACTTGAGATCTGAAGTCTGAACATCAGCATGTTTGGAAGGAACACCCAGGCCCTGGTGATGTGTGCATCAGCCGGACAACCCTCACATGAGCCACTGCTCCTTCTCTTTGTTGAACTCCTCGGCCCATTTGCGGGTGACCTCTAGGTAAAGGTCGGGTCTGTGTGGCTGGTAGTCCAGGTAGTGGCGAGAGACCGTCTTTTTGGGTACAGCCCGCTCGATCTGTGTGCCCTCGTGCCACTCGTTGAAGGAGGTGATGGTGACAATCTCAGGCCGCACAGAAAGCGCAGCCTGCAGGGCCGTCTCGTAGTAGCGCCCGTTGACTCGGTTGCGGGTGTTGTGGTTGTTCCATGGCCGCACACTAGTGTCGATGTAGCCCGGCCCGGCGCTGGGCACAAATAGCAGGTTGTTGCTGTCACAGAAGGCCTTTGCTGCCTTCCAGTTCTGGTGAGACGAGCCGAAGGAGAAGCCATTGGAGGCAAAATAGGTGTACATGCCATCGAAGCCACTGGCCAGAATGTCATGCTTGTGGCGCTCCTCCACCAAAAGCCCAATATAGACCCCATCGTAGGCCCCGCCCCTCAGGCTGTGTGAGCCCGAGGGAGTCAGCAAGTTGGCCCAGGACTCTGGTGTCGTCAGGTACGAGTCGTAGATGTAGAACATGGGCAGGATCTTGCCTGTGCTGGTCTTGAATCGGTAGAAGGCCCCATGATTCCCATACCTGGACAGGGTGACAGGTAAATCGGATCATTCATGTCTTTGACATAATACTTCTACATTGTTTAGAAGACACTTTTTCCCACAGCGATGTACAAATGAGGATGAGAGAGCAGGGTTAGGACCCTGGATCAACTAGAGTTATGGGCCTTGCTCAAGGGCCCAATGGTGACATTACTCTGCTGACCCTGGGATTTGAACCTGCGACATTCCAGTCACAAGTGCAAAATCCTAATCTGCGGAACCACAGACTTCCCCCATATCTAGAAGCTTAAAAGCCTCTGGAAATAAAAAATAAGGTTAATTCTTTTGTATACCCAAACCCAAAAACACAGATAAGAGTGACTCTGCACCTTCAGCATGATTTGAAATAAGGGCAGACCCAGGATCCCCGCTAAGCCATAAATCATTGGTCCCAGTGGCCTTGGGGCCATGAAACATATAACACATCATTTCTACCTGCAGCATGGACTGCATGGAACTTCTGCTATCCACAGATCAACAAAGCTCAGAAAAGCAGCAGAGTGTGTGTTTCTCGTTCTGCCATGTAGTACTGAAAAAGAACTGCCAAGATGCCACTAGAGCGTAGCTTCCAATCCCCTAGCATGGGAAGGACCACCTGCAGGTCAACACCTACGTCATGTTAGTTAAAGGGGCAGCTCACCCCAAAACTGAAAAATACACGAGTACCCCAGCAATATCTTCTCCATAGTGATACAACTGGTGTGTGGACTTCAGTGTGACAGTTAGGCACTGGCTTTCACTCAGACCGAGGACTTACTGCCCCCTACCTGCCTCCGTTGATATTGCAGTCCCTCACACCTGATCAGTTTGGGGCTGGTAGGATAAAGTAAAGTTACCCGGTAGCAAAGCACCTACTTGTCGATGATGTACTTGACGTTCTCGTGGACGGTGTGGTCCGTCCGTCCTTTGTAAGGCTGGATGTGGAAGGCCACCTGTGGAGACAACCAGGAACGACTGTGGGTCAACCTCTGTTATGAGCTGCTGTCATATTCATCCGCCCATGCAGGATGGAGTCAGGGTGAGCTTGGAGCCTGTCCCAAGCAGCAGGGGAACATTCTGGAAGGGTGCCATTCTACCCTGGGCACTCACACATTTCAGGCAAACACATCATCAGTCTGTGGGAGGAAATCACACAAAAAAAAGGGTCGTTCGGAATCAAGCAGGTCAAACCACTCAAAATGAGAGAATACAGGGTGCCAGAGGTCTTACATGTCGAGTACAAGAAAAAAAAAATAATTAATCATCCAAAACCAACAGTAGATGGGGTATTAACACCTTCGCACTTCCCTTCCTGTTGAGACACCAATCACACTTTCGCTGTTTATCTGTCATGTACAATTTTATCTCGTTCCTCTTTGCAGCCAGGTGACGGATATCCGTCAGGCTGAGACGGACATTTCAGGCCCAGACCAAGATTTTCTTTCAACCAACCAGTTGAGTACTCTGTGACTGTGACTCTTTATATTCAACGGGTTGGTTGAAACAAAATCCTGGTTTGGATTTTTACTTTCTGGACCTGAAATGTCCGCCTCTGGTCAGGCTACAAATTGCTGGCAAACCCATTACGCGACTCGTACAGGCAAACCCGAGTTACGAACAAGGTCCGTTCCCGAAGTCTGTATTTAAGTCAAATATGTAGGGAAGTCAGAGCACTAATAACACCATAGTAATAAAAGTAACTACATATGGTATTGTACTGTAGCTCAAGCTGACAAACTGCCGAAGCCGTGCAATGTTTACACGCATCAGTAAGTAGTGCGTGCATTCGTTATTACGAATCATTGTATCTGAATCTTTTGCCCAATATCTGTCAGTCTTTAACAAACATCTAAAATAAAAGCACTGACAGCAGGGAACATAGCAGTTAAGAAAATCACACTAAGGTCTGGGACTGAGATTAGGAATGTCCCCAACCCCCCTCCCCAAAGTACCCCTGTGCTTAGGGTCAGAACCAGGAAAGCTGTAATGTATAAACCGGGCCTTTTCATTTGAATTTATAGCTCATCAAGGTCCACAGCAGCCTGGGAGCCGGGACTCATTAGCCGCTCATTATGCAGCCATTGCAGGTAATTAGGTCTAATTGAATCTACAGCTCCCCCCTCTACCTACCCCACCCCCACCCGTCTCATGCTTTTCCACCCTCCCAAACAACTAGGAGGGGGCAGGCAGCTGCATTATACAAACCCTTTAGACATACCCTCCCCGCCCCAGGTGTGATTTAACGCGGCAGCAGATTTAAACGGGCTCTGGTGATGCGTCACTGGTGCTCGGATGCAGACGCAGCCTCTTATTTACCAAATGGCTCGTTTTACCGTTAGTGTGTTGCTGACGATATCGTTGGTGTCACTGTGACTGCAAGGTCCAAGGTCCTATCAAGCGGATCCTCTGTCAGGCATCTGCCCCGTGCAGCTGTGTAGCTGAGAGGCCGACCTGCCGTTTGGCTTAAATTGTAAACGCCCCCCCCACCATACCGCGGCTTCCGAGGCCTGTCCGATCCCCAGGAGGTCACCCGGCTGGCTTGGGCCACTTCCCTTTCTCTCTGCCAGAGAGAGACACAGACCGGCAGCTTCGGTGAAACGCGTCCATCTGCATTAGCGGGTGAAATCCCTTTGGCAGAATGTGTTCAGTTTAAGCACTAAAACACTCTCAATTCCGGCGGCGGTATCCCAAAGACGGGAGACAGGGCTGCGGCAAACTCGCTCCCGACGGCTGACTGACCGCGGCAGTGAATTATACATGAGGGATGTCGGCGAGACGGCGATCCCGGGAGAACGGCGGCGGGGGCGCGAAGGGGAGGGGTGCAGCCATAAACTGCAGCGGGAAAGAGCTTCTTGACGAGATAATGGGTCCGAGCTTGGGAGCTGAGTACCAGCGCTGAGGCCCAGGCACGTTCCTGCCACCGCTTTCCTTGGTTAATTACAGACATTTGCCAGTGGTTAGCGATTAGCGAGACTCACTAAGGGTCAAGACATGGCGGCTTGCCAAGCACTGTCGCTTCAGAAATCTCTGGCTGGGCAATTCCACCACCCATTTGAAAAAAGTGCCTTAACGACCCCCCCCATTAAAGACCCACAGTCTCATAGTAGCCCCCAGGGTGTGTTTCCACCCAAGCAGGCACTAAGGCCCCTTGGCCTGGCGTCCACCAGCCACCTTGTTTTGGGTTCATTGGCCCGGTTCTGCTTGGTTCTGGGGGGAGAACAGCTCCATTGCACAGGGAAGCAGAGGGGTCACGCCGGAATGGGAAAAAGAGGGAGCGTGGCAGGGAGGGGGGTGGTGTATAAAGGGTTGCTGGGGCAACGGCGAGCTCGGCAGCAGACGAGGGTCCTGGGTGTCACGGCAACGGCGGGAGATAAGAGTGCTAATGGATCGAGACTGCAGAGGCTGGGCGTGTGATGGACAGTGGGGCTTTTAATGTGTCCGGAATAAACAAGCCTAAGATGGGAGCCCGACTCATGGGCAGATGTGGTCCGGCACGCGGCGGGAGGGCGCCCTGCCAGTCTCGGGCCCGCATGTCCGCAGATGACGTTGGGAGGAGATCCCTGTTTACATTCTCCTCGCCGGCTCTCTGGAAGCTTTCTGTCTGTCAGATTCTCATGCCACCTACGGAGAGCCTTGCCACAAGCTTCACCAGGAGCAGTCGGAATATGGACGGATTATCTGGAGCCTGGAGCCTATCCCAGGTAGCACAGGAATACGTTCTGGGTGGGAATCCATTACAAACATACTCTTGCTCTGGCAATGTAGAGACACTAATTCACCTAAAGGGGGCGCCTTTGGACTGTGAGATACAGCTAAAGTACCCGAGGAACACTGCAAATCCACAGAACTGGGGGCCCAATTCGAACCCAGGGAACCCAGGAGGTGTGAAGTCACAGTGCTACTGAGCCACCAAGCTATGAGGTCGTAGTTAGAAAACTGTATAGACACGACAAGAGATGCAGAGAACAGCAAGCCCGTGTGAGCGTGAAAAGTCCTCAGTGAGAGGCAGCAAAGCCTCACCTACCGGTCAGGTGAAAGGTGATCATCACCTGAGAGGCATCCTCTCAGGCGGAGGCAGCCGCTGCACTTCCTGCGGTAATCAGGGGCGTCAGGCAGAACCGCAGGTGAGCCCCGCACTTGCATCCTGCCCCGTCGTGCGTGTTTGTTCATCCGACTCGGCCCAGCGTGATCTGAGACCCGCGGTTCTTTGTGTACGGGAGCCAGCCGTAGGGCACTGCGTCGGCATGTCGAGGTCACACGATGGAGAGGAGGTCTTCCCGCATCACTGTGGTTAAGAGCAGCACGCCATGTGACCTGGTCAGGTAGCACACAACACCTCATCTACCTCGTGCTTTTATCCAGTAGAGGGAAGGTCTGCAATTTATGCATGCCCCCTAGGATTTAAACCCACAACTTTTGCATTGTTAGCACTATGCTCTGGATGGTATCCCAGTAGTTGCTGGGCTACAGGAGCTACAGGAACAGCCAAGCTTCTGCGGCCACCACTCAGGCCCGGTGGAGCCCCCTCAGAATCATCGATAACCCCCCCCCAGCCCCCACTTGGCAAATTTTTATCACCAAGAGGTCATGCTGATGGACAGAGGTGGGAAGTTCAGGTCCAGGAAGTACAAATCCAGTCCAAGGTTTTGTTTCAACCAACCAGTTGAGTACTCTGCAACTCTGACTCTTTATACTCAACTGGTTGGTTGAAACAAAACCTTGGACTGGATTTGTACTTTCTGGACCTGAACTTTCCACCTCTGCTGATGGAGTTCTGGCAGAGGCTCCATGCAGGAAGACTGGTAGTACGTGACCATCATGGGTCATACCACACAGAACGTGTGCGGGGGGCTAAATATGAAAGGAAGTGATGTTTGCACTAATGCTGGGCTGATGATCACACCCCTGCAGTGTGTGATAAGAGCCTGACGACTCCCATTTAAGTGGCTCAAGGACTTAATTCCTGCAGGATGAAGAAGTCGCGTTGACAGCAGCTCCAGCTCTCGCTCAGACACAGGTAATAAAACCCCCTCCCCCAGTAACACCATAGCCGTCTCCTTATATCAGTGAGTGGAGCAGAAAATCAGACATCAGGGACAGTGTAATGAAGTACTGGTGTAACCCTGAGGAACAAATTGATAGTAATATTTAGTTACCTAATCAGATTGGTATGCAGTGAAAGAATGCTGAATAGCTCCAAAGCTCCTGTTTAGCTGCAGAGTTCCTGAAGTTCTAACAGTCCATTTTAGTCCAAACCCAATCCCCACGCCAGCCACCTGTTCCATATTATGGGATGTTCACCTCATCAGTTTACTTGAGTCAGCTGTGGGATTCAGCAGGAATATATGGATTTTGATGGACCAGGTGTTTTTCCGCTTAATGCCCAGGTGCCATTATGATTTATAATGTAGCTGCGTTGCCTGTGATGAAGAGAGACCAGCATGAAGATAAAGATGTTTTCCTGGGCGCTCTGTGATGGCGACAGGAACTTGGCTCAATGTGGGGTGGGGGGAGGGGGGGGAGGGGCGCTGCCTTTGCATTTTCAATTTAAAGCTGTAATTGGCTCTAGCTTTTTCTCCCGCTCCATTTTTTCCGAGCAGCCGGCGGTCAATGAGCGTAACGCAGGGTGTCCTCCTTTCTGCAGCGATGGCCGTGAGGATGCAGCTGAAATATCGGGAGTGACAGGAGTGCTCTTTCTTCTGCCGGGACTTAAGTATATAGTAGGGGGGACCAGGTCAGTGGGGGGGGGGGCTGCGTTTAACAAGCGGTGAGAGACGGGGCTATCCGCAGCCTCCAGCCTCCCCCCAAAGCCCCAGTGGAACAGGGTCACTCCATGCTTGCATCCCAAACCGCCATTTAATTAAGGAGATGGGCTTCAGGGTGACAGGTCGCCGGTGTCCCCTTCCTCACAGGATGCCACTTAACCCAAATATCTCAAGTAAAAAAATGCCGGTTGCTTAAATAAGTGATGTGTAATGTGAGTGAGGCCATTCCCTCTAGGTCTACGCTTCCCCACATTCGGACGGCGGGTGTCTGAATGATCAGCAGAGAAAAGGTGCTAATTTCTGCAGCATGGCTGGGATCCTGCTGGGGGGGGGTCCCCCGCTGAGGAAGCCCCCCAGGTTCCCGGCACACTGCCGTTATAGATCCTTCCAGGCGTCTGCGCAAGTGGCAAGTCGTCGGTTTTCCACATCCTGGTTCCTAGGATCCCCAATTCAGCTCACATCCCTGCAGACGGCCAACTCGCCATTTTCACCCCCCCCTCCCCCCCCGTTGACATCATTCTGTGGACTCAGGTCCCAGGACTGGTGCTTCCTGTCATACACTTAAAGAAGCTACTTTGCCCTGCACAGCTTCAGTGGAGCATCCAACTGTATAAGTGGATAAAATGCTGAAAAACATCCCCGTTATATAAGCCCCCTTGTTACACGTTTCCTTAGCAACTAAATGTGTATAAGAGAAACAGCTGCCTATGGACATGGTGACATCCCCCCCACCCCACCTTCCCAACCCTCCCTCACCATGAGCCCGCCTCCTTCTGAACGAGCTCGCCTGGAGTTACCTGCCCCGTGTTACGCGAGAGGGTGACATATCGATGCCAGCGTGCTGGCATCAGTCTCCGCATCGTCGATCGTCTGAATCCTCCTCTTGAATCTTTACCCCTCCCCCCGCCCCAGAAAATGCCTGGAACATCGCTGATTCACGGAAGACCCTCTTTGCAGTCACCTTAAGAGCCATTGAGGGGACCAGTCCGAAATCATGTAAGGAAAGTGTTCTCCTTTTGTCCCGATGCATAATGCATTACCTGGAAGAACAAAAGAAGATGCCCTTGAGGGTAACAAGGTCCCCTCAAACGGAGAGCTCTCACCTAAGACCAAAAACCATAATGACCATAATGACTTCTTCTGTGTCCCCCTTAAACGTAAGTACCTGCCAGAGTTTGGGTGATATTAGAAGGGTGTGGCAGAGAGGAGTGAGACAGCGGGGTTTATCAGCCCTGTCGATCACCGATCCCCCCATCCTACTCGCATGAGAGAGAACATTTCCAACTCAGATCGATGTCTCTTGGTGATCGGCTGCTGTCAGTGCCCGTCTCAGTGCCCGTCTCAGTGCCCGTCTCAGTGCCCGTCTCAGTGCCCGTCTCAGTGCCCGTCTCGTTAAAAAGAAATAAATAGATGCTGCCGCAGTGGCCAGG